AAGGCTGGACCCGGTGCCCAGAGGACCCGAGCGGGCGGGCACGGAGCTGAGGGCCGCAGAGACACGCGGCCCGTGGGCGAGGGGTCCCCAGCCCACCCCGGCCTCCGTCAGGGGTCACCCTGGGCCCGCCGCCCCACACACCGACACCGCCAGGCCCGCGGGCTCGCCCTGTTTGCCGTGGCCGGTCGCCATCGCCCGCTGGGCACCGCTGCCTGTCACCCACCTCCCCCCGACCGCACGCGGCTGGAAATAGGCTGGCACAGACGCCCGCGCCCGCCAGCTCGCGTCTGTGGGCAGGGGGCATGCGGTTGCCCCGTCGCCTGGAAGGTGGCAGAGCCCCCCCGTGGCCCAGCCACTGACCACCACAGGCGGCCGCTCTCGGGACACGTGCAGTGGACAGGCCCCACCGGGGCTCTCCTGAGGCTTGGCTGCCCGGCGGGACAGGACGCCCAGTGTCCTCCGCGCTGCCCCGCCCGGACGCCGTCCGTCACCTGGCTGGGGTCTCGGCCGGGGTCTCGGCCCCGCTCCCGCCCGCACTCGGACCCCGGGGGTCCTGGCGCTCAGAGACGGGCACGCCGTGACACCCCCGCACACCGTGGTCAGCAGCGCTGTGCCCGTGGGTTCGCGGCCAGGACGGCTGGACGCAGCCTGACTTTATATGGTCACAAGCGTGGCCGTGGCCGAGCTCCCTGGCGCTTTCTCGCCATCTGCGGGGCACGTGGGGCAAGTCGCGGGTGCGAGGCCAGGGAGGCGCCTCCGCCTGACCAGACATACACACCCCCACCTGTGGGGCTGGGGGACGAGGGACGGGGCCGACAGGGGGACACGCGCACCCCATGTTCCTGCACCTACACCTGCAGATGCCCGGGGCAGCTTCTTCCACAGCCACACAGCCACACACACCACACACGCAGACACACAACACACACATCACACAGGCACCACACACACAGACACACACCACACACACAGCACACACAGCACACACACAGACATACACACCACACAGCACACACACCACACACACACCACACACACAGACACACAGCACACAGGCACCAAACACACAGACACACACACCACACACACACACCACACACACAGACACACAGCACACAGGCACCAAACACACAGACACACACACCACACACACACCACACACAGAGACACACACAGCACACACACAGACACACACCACACATACAGACAACACACACCACACACAGAGACACACACGCCACACAGACACACCCCCCACACATACACACACCACACAGACACACACAGACACATACATACACACCACAGACACACATACATAGATACACACCACACACATACACACAGCTCACACACACATATGCCAACACACAGAGATACACACGTAGACACATGCATGCCAACACACAGACACACACGCCACCAGACACACACAGCAACACACACGCAGACATGCATACACACGCCAACACATACTCGTGAAGCAGCACACACGCAGACACACTAACGCACGTAGACGCACACACATGCCCGCAGGGCCCAGGCACAGTGCCAGTGGAGCCCCCTGGGTCCTTGTCCTGTAGGTTTGGGGGGGCCCGGGGGTCTCGCCTGCCGAGCCCCTCCGGGGCCTGGTCCACAGAGGAGGGAACGCGGGTCTGAGTGGCCCCCGCGAGGTCACCAGCCAGCCGCCTGGGGACGGGCGGGCCTCAGAGGGTGCAGGGCTGGTGGTGCTGGGACCCGTCGTGGCCCGGACGGAAGGAAGGGCTGCCGGTGGACAGGGGCCCAGGGGCAGGAGGTCAGCGCGGGCCGGGGGCTCCGGGTCTCCGGGCGCCCCGAGGGGGGCTTGCCGGCCCGAGCCTCCTGCCCTGGTCTTGGGAGCCCCGAGCCGACCCGGCGGACCGCCGTGCGCCCCCCGCCTGCCCTCTGGCCGCCGGGGTGCCCTGCTTGGCAGCTTGCCGGCCCGGGCTCGGCCGCGTCTCTCCCGAGGCCGGGTCCATCTGGTTCTCATTTATTTGCACTTAACTCATCAAATGCAATTTGGCCCGAGCCGCGCCGGGGGCCGGAGGCTTTCCTGCCCCGAGAGGAGCCGCGGGCGCGCAGTAGGCCCGGGGCAGCGGCGAGGGAGCCGGGCGGGGCCGCGGAACGCAGCGGCTGTTCCAAACGGTGGAACGTTCCGGAGACTTGCAAAGCCACCAGCGCCGGATTATAAATAACAGCTCAGCCCCGTGCCCGGCCCAGGCGGGACACAGGCCACTGAGAAAAGCACCTCAGCCCTCACGGTCAGGCCCGGAGGCCGCTTCTTCCAGGCAGACCCTGGAGCATGCCCGGCGCCACCCTCTGCCCTCTCAGCCGGACTGGGCACGAGCCGGGAGCCCAGCCTCCAGCACCCAGACCCGTCCGGCTCCCTCCGGCCAGCACTTCCAGGGAGAACGGGCAGCCTGGGCCGTCGGGGTCAGGCATGGGGACCGGTCAGCCTGTCTCCAGCCCCCGCCCCCCCCCCCCCGGCCACGGCTGCCCGGGACTCGGTGCCCAGCAGGCGCCGGCTGCGGGCAGGAGCGGCCCCCGGGACGGTCAGCCACGGGCCTTCCCGCCACACACACAGGAGGGGCCTGTTCCCGAGAGGCCCCCCGGCCCCACCCCAGAGTCAAGGCCCGGCCGCGCGTGGCACAAAGATACTTTCTGTGCGGGGGGAGCCCAGGGGAGTCGCAGCCCCCAGCGCCCCCAGGGCCTTCCTACCAGCTCTGTCGCCAATTGGGGAGTCCTGGGAGGCCCGGCCCCAGGTGCCGCCTCTGCTTTGTGATGGAGTCCCTGTGGCAGGAGCGCCCTGCCTTCCGGAACATTCTGTGGGGTCATGAATAAAGACGAAGGATCCCAACTGCCTGCAGGCCTCCCCCCCCCCCCCCAGACTGCAGACAGACGTGCCGGCGCGGTGAGGCTCAGGCTGGGCCAAGGTCGGCCCCTTCGCCCTCAGGATGGAGGGGAGAGGGCTCGGGGTCCCACACCGGGTCAGGGTCCCGGGGAGCCGCATTCAGCCTAGAGACGGGGGCACCACATTCCCGGGACTTTTTATAAAGGGGGGGCTGGAAGTGCTGGGGCCACACTTGGCAGTGCTCAGGGCTGACTCCCGGCTCTGTGCTCAGGGCTGACTCCCGGCTCTGTGCTCGGGGCTGACTCCTGGCTCTGTGCTTGGGGCTTACCCCCGGCTCTGTGCTCGGGGCTGACTCCTGGCTCTGTGCTCGGGGCTGACTCCTGGCTCTGTGCTCGGGGCTGACTCCCGGCTCTGTGCTCGGGGCTGATTCCCGGCTCTGTGCTCGGGGCTGACTCCTGGCTCTGTGCTCGGGGCTGACTCCTGGCTCTGTGCTCGGGGCTGACTCCTGGCTCTGTGCTCGGGGCTTACCCCCGGCTCTGTGCTCGGGGCTGACTCCTGGCTCTGTGCTCGGGGCTGACTCCCGGCTCTGTGCTCGGGGCTGACTCGTGGGGTGCCAGGGATGGAGCCTGGGTCTCCTGGTGTCTGTCTCCATCCCAGCCTCGTCCTCTGCCACCAACTCGGCCCTGCAGCTCCCACCACGCCACCTCCAGGCAGCCTCCCACCTGGGCATGTGCTGTGGACATGAGTGGTCAGGAGAGGACGGGGGCAAAGTGAACGAACCCATGAGGGACCCCGGGTGACTTCTAGAGAACGAGCCACAGAGCATGTACTGGTGTTGGGGGGAGCAGGTGCTTGAGGGGGGCACATGTGTGTGCATGTGTGCGCACATGTGTGTACTGTGCATGTATGTATGTGTCCACAGCTCAGTATGTATATGCACGTGTACATGTGTGCACACTTGTGCGCACATATGCATGTATGTGTGGGGGTGTGCATGCGTGTGCATGTATGCACGTGTGTGCCCTCATGCGGGTGTATACATAAACCTGTGTACATGTATGCACATGTGTGTGCATGGGTGGAGGTGTGCACGTGCACATTTATGCACATGTGTGGGTGTAGGCATGTGATGTGTGCAATGTATGCACGTGTGTATTTGCACATGGGTGTGCACGTTGCACATGCATGTGTACACATGTGCACGTGCGTGTGTACATGCGTGCACATGCGTGTTATTATGCACATATTGACGTGCACATGTGTTTGTGCACATGCATGTATGCACGTGTGTATGTTTGCACGCATGTCTGTGCATGTGTGAAGGTGAGCGCGGATTAGAACTCCCAGCTGAGCGGTGTGTGGGCCGCGTCGGTGTGCCCAGGGCCCCGGCCAGCGTGCTGCCGACACCCCGCTCTGCTCGGGGCCGCGGTCCAGAAAGCATTTCCAGCCCAGCGCACGCTCCATGCCAGCGGCCTCTCGGGGCTGTGGGCCCCGCACCCAGGCTCCCCCAGGGCCGTTGCCCGCCGCCTGCCGCACCCGCCCCTGCCGCCAGAGGTCAGGCCTGCGAGCCGCCCGGCCTGTCGGAGGGTCAGAAAGCGAGTGGCCACAGAGCAGGGGGGACGGGACACTGAGTGGTGGGCCTGGGGAGGGCAGAGGGCGTGGGGTGCCCCTAAGAGGAGGCAGCTGAATGTGCCACTCCGTGCCTCAGTTTCCCCATCTATGACAGTAGCGAAGCCTTCCTGTGTATTCCGGCTGCTGTGAGGACCAGAGGCTCAAATACACGTGATACGTTCAGGGAGCCCCGGGACGGTGGAGCAGGGTTGGGAGCTCGGCCGCCTCTGGGGGGTGACTTGGTGGGCGGCTTGTCGTAGAGGGCCTGTGGCGTGTGTCCGCGGATGGCCACCAGGCTGCTGCCGGAGGCTCTCTGCGGAGTGCTCCGGGTGATCCAGAGACGAATGGCGATATCCTCTGGAGAGCCCTGCCGGGGGTTCCAGAGGGTGTGGCTAGAACCTTCCAGGGAGCACTGCCAGGCGTTCCAGAGGGCGTTGCTAGACCCTTCCAGGGAGCACTGCCGGCATTCCAGAGCGCGGGGGTCCTCTGAGCGTGCTCACAGCCCCGCCTTCCCCCGCAGACGTGGACGAGTGCCAAGACAACAACGGCGGCTGCCAGCAGATCTGCGTGAACGCCATGGGCAGCTACGAGTGCCAGTGCCGCGGCGGCTTCTTCCTCAGCGACAACCAGCACACCTGCATCCACCGCTCGGACGGTGAGTGAGTGCCGTGCTCTGGCCTGCCCTGGGACAGTCCCGGTGCTGGTCCCCGCGGGGCTCGACCCTGGGACCATCTCCCCGTGGCCCCGGCTTTCGAGTCTGTCCCGTGAGACTCACGAGCACTGTGGCCGGCTCCCGCGCCGTTGCTGGCCCCCGGCTGTGTGGAACGGCTCGAAGCCGCATCCCCCCACGCGTCCTCTCTGTGCCCCTGAGGGTGGACGTGGCAACTGCCCGGTGCCATGGGAGGGACGCGTCTCCGAGGGGGCTCCAGTGCCGAGACCCCCCCACGGTGTGCCCGAGAGGCCTCCCAGAGGGCCCCCCAGCTGCCTGGGATCGCCCACGTGACCCCTCGGTCGCCGGCAGCTCCGTGGAGCCCGCCCCCCGCCCCCCGCCGGCTGGTTCTGATTATCGGGGGCCGGATGCAGGGGTGGGGTCAGCCGGGGTCAGCCGGGCTCCTGGTGGGGAAACCAGGCCACGGGGCTCGGTCTTCCCAGGCACCAGCGGAAGTGGGGCCTGTGCCCCCCCCGGGCCCGGCCAGGCTGGGGGGCAGGTGAGGGGGGTCTCACTCGCAGCTGCTGCCCATGGCCCCGGCCCCGTGGACTCCTCTCCTCCGGAGTTCACACGCGCTGCGGGAGCCCGCCCCTCCCCTGCCGGTCTCTGCCCGTCTCTGCCTCCCCAACCCCCAGCCAGGACTTGATTCTGTCCCCGTGGCAGGCAGGAGCGAGAAGGGGCTTCCAGGCCTTGCTCGCTCGACCTTGAGACCCTCCATGGCCAGCACGGCCTGCCCGTCGGTCCCCATCCCCCATGCTGCCCGCCCAGCGGGGCTGGGACTGCTCAGCTTCTGCTGTGTGACCCTCGGAAGCCACTCAGCCTCTCTGAGCTGGGACCAGGAAAGTGAGCATGTCCACGCCACGCGGCGCTTGGGGCGGACGTTTCTCCCCTGGAGAAAGCAGGCGGCGAGGGCCAGGCCACCCCCAGACCGGCAGCAAGCCACTCGCAGCTCAGGCCCGACCCGGGGGCAGGCGGGCAGGAGTCCGTCCACCAGGACACTCGCGAGCAGGGCCGTTCCTTCCCGAGCCCAGCTGCCAGCGCGCCATGCCTGCCCTTAGGGGGCGTCCACCCTGCAGGGCCAGCCCAGGCCGTCTGCTGACCCTGTGGTGCCCTGTCCCGTGACAGCTGCTCTGTGCTGAGTCTGGGGCCCCGGGAGCGGCCAGAGCCGGTGGGGACTTCCGGGCCGGTTTGATGCCCGGGTAGATGGTGGGTTACCAGCCCCCAGCCAGGCCCTGAGGCTCCCGGGGTCATGTTATGGACAGCAGCTCCCCCAAATCCACGGGGCAGGCAGGGGTGACGGTCACCCCATGAGGCCCTCCGGGGCTCACGGTTCACGGTTTACAGCCCGTTTCCCGAGCACTGAGGCCGGGAGCACTTCCACAGTGGCAGCTGGAAATCCCCACAGACTCCGGTCAGGAGCCCGGCTGCATTCCGAGTGCTGGGATGTTCTGGGTTCCACCAGGCTCCAGGACCAACATTGCCTGGTGGGAATGTTCCAGAATGCCCCCTCCCTGTCTCTCGGAGACAGCCTGAGGCACCCGGCCTTTGTTCCTGATTCTTGTTTTTTTTTGTTTGTTTGTTTTTTGCTTTTTTGGGTCACACCCAGCGATGCACAGGGGTTCCTCCTGGCTCTGCACTCAGGAGTTACTCCTGGTGGTGCTCAGGGGACCATATGGGATGCTGGGAATCGAACCCGGGTCGGCCGCGTGCAAGGCAAACACCCTCCCTGCTGTGCTATAGCTCCAGACCCTTGTTCCCGATTCTTAGGGGGTTCGGTTAACTCGGAGCTTGTGGGGTGCTGTCCTGGTGCCCGCCCATGCGTGAGTCTGCCCAAGGATTCTGCTGGACTTAGTGTGGGGCTGTTGGCAGGCCACCCCGGAGGAGACAGCACCGTGGGGTCACTGTCGGGGGAGACGGGTCAGCTCAGGGGACACACGCAGTCAGAGGGGGCGCAGACTCCGGCCACGTCCCCTGCAGTGGCACCCTGTCAGATGGAGACCACGTCCACACTGGCAGCTGTGTGCCACACACGTACAGAGTACACGTGCATTATGTGTGTGTGTGTGTGCGCGCGGGGGGCATGTGTATGAACGCATGAGTTCATACATGCAGCGTGTACTAGTGTGCATGTATGTAGATCACGTGTACGTGTGCCTTGTGTGAGCGCGCGTGTATGCGTGCATGTGTATGGGTGGCGTGTGTGCATGTATGAGCGTGTACGTACATGAGTGGGTGCATGTGTGCCCACGTATGCATGTGTGTATGTGTGAGTGTGCATCTGTGAGCGTGCGTGTGCACACGCGTGTGTGCATGTGAGTACATGTGTGTGCATACGTGTGCGTGTGTATGAACGCATGAGTTCGTGCGTGCGGCGTGTACTAGTGTGCATGTGTGTAGATTGTGTGCACGTGTGCCTTGTGAGTGTGCGTGTATGAGTGCATGTGTATGTGCACGTGTGTACATGCATGTGTGCCCATGTATGCGTGTGTGTGCAACTGTGAGCATGCATGTGTGTGTGCACGTGTGAGTGCATGTGTACGTGTGGTGTTACGTGCACGTGTGTACATGTGTGAGTGCATGTGTGCACATGTGAGTGTGCATCTGTGAGCACGCATATGTGTGTGCGCCTGTGTGAGTGCATGTGTGTGCGTGTGTGCGCGTGCATGTGTGTATGTGTGGTCTGTCCAGGGGTTCACGCAACCAGCATTGAGGTCCGGAGGCTCCTCTGACTCGGGAGTGAGGCCCAGGCGGCCCGTGCACGTGCTCAGCCCACGAGCCGGACACTCCCTGCAGGCCACAGGGCCGGGGCCGGAGGGCAGCTGCCCGCCCGCGAGACACAGGCCTCGCTGACGCCCTCAGACCGTGGGGGCCGGACCAGCGCCACCCGCTTGGGGACGGTGACCAACGGCCTGCCCCGGGGCTGCTTCCCAGGGACCTGGTGGCGTCACAGGCACTTCTCAGGGTCCCTGCGGTGACCAAAGGGACCACGGCAGACCCACGGCTCAGCCACGGAGGGCGGGTGTGCGGGGACAGAGGCGCGCGGGAGGAGATGACAAGAGAATGGGAGGGGACAGGCGGGAGTGAGGAGACTGACCAGAGCGTCGGAGGGGACAGGGTGGCCACGGAGGGGACGGTCTGTCTGCAAAGTGGCAGGAGGACGGCAGGTGATAAGAGGAGGAGGGTGTGGCGAGTGACAGAAAGGTGCCTAAGGAGGGGACAGGAGGAGGTGAGTGACGGGAGGTGAGTGATAAGAGGTGTGATGACCGGAGGTGACCGGAGTGACCAGAGGCTGGCCGACGGCAGAGGCCAGGCCCAGAGCACAGGGGGCGCCTCCTGTTGGGGGAGCCGGGAGACGAGACCCCATGGCAGAGCGGCCCCTCGGCCCCGCCCCCTGCCCCCTCCACGTCCTTGTGCCCATTTGTGGGGAGAGGACAATGGACACGTGCCCTTGGGCGCTGGGCCCTGGGGCGGCTGGGCCGAGGGGGTCTGTGCCGCTGGGGGTCAGGGCCATGGGCGGGGGGCGGGGCGGGCTCCGGGATCCCCCACAGGCCCCAGAGTGGGGGCGGCGCTGCCCCCCCCCCCGCCCCAGGAGTCGGCCGGGCCAGAGACGCAGGAGGCCAGCGCGTGGGCAGCCCCGCGGCCGCGGCCGGTCAGAGAAACGATTCATTTAGCCGCAGATTTACGGCCGCTGCCAGAGCGGCCGCCCGCGGCCAAGGGGACAATAAATGGGGCCTTTACGAGCCTCCGGCCCATAAACAGCTCCTGCGGGCGAGCCCCTCCAGGCCGGGAGCCCACTGCCTCCCCCCCACGCCCCCCACCTCCCCAGGACGACCCCTCCCCTCACTCCCCGGGACTCCCCCCCCACCTCCCCGGGCCGCCCCCCACCTCCCCGGGACGACCCCTCCCCTAACTCCCCAGGACTCCCCCCCACCTCCCCGGGACGCCCCCCACCTCCCCGGGACGACCCCTCCCCTAACTCCCCGGGACCCCCCCCCACCTCCCCGGGACGCCCCCCACCTCCCCGGGACGACCCCTCCCCTAACTCCCCAGGACTCCCCCCCACCTCCCCGGGACGCCCCCCCACCTCCCAGGGACAACCCCTCCCCTAACTCCCCAGGACTCCCCCCCACCTCCCCGGGACGCCCCCCCACCTCCCCAGGACGACCCCTCCCCTCCCCTAACTCCCCGGGACTCCCCCCCACCTCCCCGGGACTCCCCCCCCCCACCTCCCCGGGACACCCCCCACCTCCTGGGCCGGTGTCTTCGGGGCTAAAGGGCACTTCGGGGACACTGCCGGGCGGGGTCCTGGGGTCTGTCACAGCGAGTCCCGTACTGAACCGGGCGGGAAGCTCCTGTCACCCCCAGAGTCGGGGAGGGCAGCTGGGCAGGGGCCACACGTGTCCCTGTGCCCGGCCCCGAGCCCTGCCCCTGCCCAGGGACCTCTCCCGCCCGGGCCCCCCCCTCCCCGGCCCCTGACGCCCCTCACAGTCCCGGGGCCCTGGGGGAGAGCGGGGCAGAGGACCCCTCGCCCACTCCCGAGCCCACAGTGCCCAGGCCCAGTGGACGTGTCCAGCTGCAGCCGGACCCGGAAGTGCCACTCGCTGGGGCCTGGCCCTGGGGACAAGTGTGATGGGGCAGCCTTAGTGACCCTTTCCTCTGCAGTCCCTGTTTGTCTGGAAGGATCCGGAAGGATCTGGAAGCTTTCTCTCCTTTCCCCTGATTTCTGCCCAGGCTGCCTGGAGGAGGCCTGTGGGGTGATGGCGCCGCCTAGTGGCAGGTCTGGGAATTGCAGGAGCGGTGCTACTGGCCCAAAGCCGAGCCCAGGGGTGGGGCAGGGCCCAGGGAGCAGCAGTGGGGGCGGCCTTTAGTGGACCCCACTGCCTCAGGGCCAGCGGAGCCCCTGTCTGCAGCCCATCCTCTCTGACCTCTCCCGTAAGGCCCTTTGGTGCCTGGCCACCCCCGCGGGGACAGAACAAGCTCCAGGCCCCATTCAGCCAGGGGCGTCCTGACCTGGGTGGACCAGGGTGGACCTACGGGGCGGACCCCCAGCCTCACCAACTAGAGGGTCCAGGCCCCAGGGGGCCAGAGCAGGCCCCAGTCCAGTCAAGGAACTTAAGGGTGGGTGCAAGCTAGGAGGTCTTCCTGGAAGAGGGGCTCGGGTCACTCAGGTCACAGGGCATGGGGCCTCCCTGCTCAGACCCGGCCAAGAGGCTGCGGGCATCTCTTTCCTCACCCCAGCCCCACCCCGGGCACCCCGAGACACTCGGTCTGAGTTGGCAGCACATAATTGCATTTGGTCGCGCCTAATCCAATTAGCTTCGAGCGGGCAGGCGGCCTGGCCTGACCGGCGCCCGGTCTCGGTGTCCAGGGCTGCCGGGAAGGACCCGGAACCAACAGTTCTGGGCCCCGGGTGGGGGCAGGCAGGAGGCGGTGGGCGTGCCGAGGGTGGTGAGCGGGCAGAAGTGGGCGGAGAGGCGGGCAGAGCCAGGGATGGACAGAGTCTGGGAAGCAGTCGCAGGCCACAGAGGGCACCCCCGCCCTCTGTGGGGGAACTGAGTCACAGCTGGGTGCTCAGGGAGGAGCAAACACACTTCGGTGCTCTGTGGAGGGGCTGCCCGGAGAGCTGCCTGGAGGTGGTGGCCTTGTTCGTCCTCGGCTCTTCCAGCCGCCACAGGCACAGGCTCTGTTCGTGATTCGCACTCCGGGCGGCCCTGGGGTCCTGCCAGTCCCAGAAATGCCGCCCCTCAGCCACCCAGGGACCCCAGGGCGGGAGATCAGGCCTATGCACCCGAGGGCCCCAGGGCAGAGGGGCTTTGTGGCTCTCACTCCACTGCACCCGGGGGTGAAGCGGTGACAGGGTGTCACCCAGCCCTGTGGGATCCCTCAGCCGCCCCCCCGACACACGCACGCCTACAACAAAGCCCCCCCGCAAGGGTCCCATCAGGGTCTCTGGTTTTAAATGTGGAGAACAAGAGTGCTCACGTGCGGGTTTTGGCGACTGTTTTATTGGTTTGGGGTCCACACCTGGCTATGCTCAGGGATCCCTCCGGAGGGCCCCAGGGACCGTATGTGGCACCAGGGGTGGGATCTGGGTCGACCAGGTGCCCGGCGGCGGCCTAGCCCCTGGGCTGTCTCCCTGCCCCCGTTTCTCATTTATTTTTATTTTTCGGTTTATGGGTCACACTGCCAGCGATGCTCGGGGCTCACTCCTGGTGGGGCTCAGGGGATCCTGTGGGACTCCAGAGATTAAGCCCAGGTTGGCCGCGTGCAAGGCTAGTGCCCTCCCCGCTGCCCCTGGTTTTTAATATGAAATCAGTGTGTCGACGCCAGTTTAATATGAAATCATATTATATTTAATTTATATGAATTATAATTCATTTAATATGAATTTGATTTAATATAATTTAATATAAATATTATTAATTAACAATAAATAAGAGTATTTTATTTATATATAACATACCTATATAATACAATAAATTATAAGTAAAAAGTAAATTGGTTAATTATTAGTATTGATATGATAGGATTTAATATAATTCGTTTAATATAATTCATTTAATATGAAATCATATCATAGCATGCATCGATGCCGATTCCTGAGCTGTGGTCAGTGACTGTCACAGACACAGCCTCGCGGGCTCCTGCCCGCGCCCAGGATTCCGAGGGCCACAGCACGTGAGCTCAGGGGCCAACTGCAGGGGGAGACCTCGCCTCCCCCCTCACCACCCCCCACCTTGGGTTGCCGCCGACACAGAGGGCCCGGGGGCCCCGCCACCTGCTCCGGGGGCCTTAACTCCCTGCTGGGAAGCGGCGGCCACATCTGCCCTCGTAACTGAGATGCTGCAGGTGCTCAAAAAACAGGAGGAAGTGGTGGGCTCCGCCTGACCCGTCCCTAACGTGCACACACACCTGCACACTCAGACACACACATTCATTCACATGCGCACACACGCTCACACACGCGTGGACACACTGACACGCACACACTCGCACGTGCACACACGCACACACACACGTGCTCACACACATGCACACACGTGCTCATACACGCATGCACACACTTTCACAGAGACAAACTCACAGAAACACATGCATACACAGTCACATGCGTGAACATACGTGCTCGCACACATGTATGCACACACGCTTGCACACGCTCATGCACACACACGCACGCGTGCACACATGCACAGATACCGGTTCCGGGCCAGGCATGGAAACCCTGCATACCTACCCCCCTCCTGCCCACACCCCCTCCCCCCTACACCCCCTCCCCCTGCACACCTGCCCTGCAGGGCTTCTGTGGGCACCCTGTGTTCAGAGCTGCAGGGAGGCATCAGAGCTGCCCAGCCAGGCGCGGTGGCCTTGGTCCCCTGTGAGGTCCTGCCCAGACAGCAGGAGAGCAGAGCCCCTCGTTTGCGCCCCCCAACCCCTAACCCTGTCCCGCGCATCTCTCTCCCCAGGGGGCATGAGCTGCATGAACAAGGACCACGGCTGTGCCCACATCTGCCGGGAGACGCCCAAGGGCGGGGTGGCATGTGACTGCAGGCCGGGCTTCGACCTGGCGCCCAACCAGAAGGACTGTACACGTAGGTAGTCGGTCGGTGCTGGGCGGGTGGGGGCCTGCCTCAGTCTCCTCCGCCCAGCTCAGGGCTCCCAGCCCAGACGTCAGGAGCTCAGGGACAGTCAGGTGCCAGAGAGGGACTGTCCCTGTGACTCAGAGGCACTGCATGCGGGCACGCTGTCCCTCACATGCCTCCCACGGCTGCACCCCCGTCTGTCACTGTGAGGGTCAGTCAGTCAGCTCAGGGGCTCACTAGGGACCAGGCACCGTGGACCCTGTCCCCCCAGGATCCGGGGGGTATTTGCATCCCGACAATAGAGGCCTGGGTGGGCTGGAGCAATAGGGGGGCGTTTGCCTTGCACGCTGTCCACCCGGGTTCGATTCCCAGCATCCCATAGGGTCCCCCGGGCACCGCCAGGAGTCATTCCTGAGTGCAGAGCCAGGAGGAACCCCTGTGCATCGCCGGGTGTGACCCAAAAAGCAAAAAAGAAAACAGAGGCCTGGTGGGCCAGGAACAACAGAAAGCGGGGGCACCCCAGCCCCGCGGAGACGCAGGCTCTGCCACACAACCCCCGGGGGCGCCCCCTCTCACCTGCCCCCTCGCGGCACCCCATTTCCAGCCAGGCCTGCTGAGGAGTCGGGAAGCGGCTGAGATTCGGGGTGCCTCCCCCGGGCCCTGAGCCTTCCCGGTGGTGTCACGGCGCTGGTGGGACGTGGGCTTTTCCGGAAGGGCACTCCGAGGACACTCAGGGGCTTCACTGGGAGGCGGCAACTGCTGAGGTTCAGGGACGTGGACACGAGTGGCCATTCGTCCCCAGCGCCTCGGGTGGGGTGGAGGGAAGGAAGCTGCAAGACAGCGGACACGCCACATGGACACGCCATGCGGACACGCTAAGTGAACATGCCATGTGGACATGCCACACAGAATGCCATGTGAGCATGCTACATGTACACGCCACGTGAACATGCCACTCAAACATGCCATGTGGACACATCATGTGGATGTGCCACACGGAATGCCACGTGGACATGTCATAAGGGCACACCACACAGACATGCCACCTGAACATACCACATGGACACATCATGTGGACATGCCATGCGGAATGCCACGTGGACATGCCATATAGTCACACTACATGGACATACCATGTGGATACGCCACATGGACATGCCACATGTACACGCCACACAGACATGCCACGTGGCCATGCCACTTGAGCATACCACATGGACACATCGTGTGGACGTGCCACGCAGAATGCCATGTGGACATGTCATAAGGGCACACTGCACGGGCATACCATGTAGATACGCCACGTGGTCATGCTATGTGTACACGCCACATGAACATGCCATGTGGACACATCGTGTGGACATGCCACGCAGAATGCCATGTGGACATGCCATAAAGGGCACACCACACAGACATGCCATGTGGATATGCTACATACCACGCCACATGTACATGCCACACCACACAAACATGCCACATGGACATGCCACTGGAACATGCCACATGAACACATCATGTGGACATGCCACGCAGAATGCCACGTGGACAGCCACATATACATGCCATACAGATATGCCACTCGAACATGCCACGTGGACACATCGTGGGACATGCCACACAGAATGCTATGTGGACATGCCATATGGTCACACCACAAAGATATACCATGTGGATATGCCACGTGTACACGCCATGTGTACATGCCACTCGAACATGCCACGTGGACACATCATGTGGACATGCCACACAGAATGCCACGTGGACATGCCATAAGGGCACACCACACGGTCATGCCACGTGGACATATCATGTGGACATGTCACACAGAATGCCACCTGGACATGCCATAAGGGCACACCACATGGACATACCATGTGGATACGCCTCATGGACATGCTACATGAACACGCCACACGAATGTGCCATGTGGACATGCCATGCAGACATGCCATGTGAACACGTCATGCGGACAAGCCATGTGGCCATGCCACCCAAACATGCCATGTGTGCATGCCACGCAAACTTGCCACGTGGACACATTATGTGGACATGCCATGCAGATATGCCATATGGACATACCACCAGACATGACATATGGATATGCCATGTGGACATGCCACATGTACATGCCACATGCATGTGCCACGTGGACATGCCAAGCAGACATGGCACACTCACAGGGCCTCCAGCCACCCTGGAGGGACCATCCGGCCAGCAGCCCGCGGGTGGCCCCAGCCCGGGGGAGGGGCTGGACAAAGCTGCCCGGGGGGACTAACCCCTTCTGTCGGCTCCTCTTTCTCCGCACGGACGGCCACGGTGGTCACTAGTCACCTGTAACTATGGCAACGGGGGCTGCCAGCACAGCTGCGAGGACACGGACGCGGGGCCCCTGTGCGGCTGCCACCAGAAGTACGCGCTGCACGCCGACGGCCGCACCTGCATTGGTGAGTGTCCCGGTCCCTGCCACGGCCTCCAGGACGGCGACCAAGGACGACAGAGCCACAGCTCTGCTTTGGAGACCCCCGGCCTGCGTCTGTGCTCAGGGCCCCGGGGCCCCTGGGGGTGGGACCTCGTCCTGGGCGTGGGCTCGCCAGACGCCGGGCCACAAGGCCTCCTCAGACAGAGGCCGCTGGTGAGGGCCCCCGGGTGCACAGTTGTGGGGTGGGGTGAGCCCCCCGTGTGGGGTGCCCAGGTACCCTCAGGCTGCTGCGTGAGGCTTTCCTTGGGGGCGATGGATGACGTGAGCCCCAGCTGGGGTTCACTGGGGGCCGCTAAGCCTCCTGCATCCCCGGGCTGCTGGGGCGGGGGCTTCCACCGGACTCTCCACACCCGCCACCCGCCTGTGCTGGGGACTGCCCGCCCCCGGCCGAGGGAAGTAGGGACTGACTCGGGGCGAACAGCTCCACGGCAGCTTCTGGGGTGTGAGAGAGAAGAGGGGGTGCACCGGTGCTGGACCCTCGCTCGGCTTTCTCCTCGATGCCCGCCGACTTTGTAGCAACGCCCCCCCCGCAAAGTCACTTATGTTCATTTTTAAGAACCGGGGTCCGCTGGCTTGCAAGGCCCCGAGTTCGATCCCCAGCTCCGCGGGGTCCCCATCCCGGCACCCAGGGGCCCCGGAGCACCTCTGGGGAAGCCTTGGCTGAAAAGTACAACCAGGGTTCGCTCTGCACCCCTGGCCTGGAAGCCGCTGGGGCCCCGGGTCCCTGCTCCCCTCCCGGGCCGTCGCCCCCCGGTGCTGTCGCTGTGGGGCCCCCCACCCCTCTTGTCCCGTTCACTCCGTCTCCCCCTGCTTTTGTTGATGGTGCCTGGTTGCCTCTCTTGTCTGCTAAACGAGCCCGTCAGTCTCAGAGCCGAAAAGACCAACAAAGACCAAACAAAACGATGAGCGAACCCCTGTCTCAGACGGTATCTCTATTGCAGCCTGATCCCATCTAGAACCTTCTTACCCCCCCTCCCCTCCGCCCGGCCGCCTCTGCGGGTGCGGCCCCCCACCCCCACCCGGCTCATCTAACCCATCTGTCTTCGTCTACCTGACACCCCCCTCTTAGTTTGTCACTCCTGAGTGTCCGCTGCATGCGAGGGGCCACCCCTAACGGAGCTTCACACACGCCGCCCCTCCTTCACCAGTTCTGGGGAGACCCTCCCCGGGCAGCCCAAGCCCTGTCTCCCCTTGGCGGAGCCTCTGCAGACCCCCGTCCCCAGACCCCAGCCCGTGTCCTCGCGGGAGCGCCCCCAGCTGCTCCGGGTCCCTCAGACAAGCAGGCAAACACGCCGCCAGCGTCCCGCGGTCGTGCGGGCACCCGGGGACCCCCGTGCGCGGTGCATGGCGCGCTCCCACCCGGCCTCACCCCCTGCCCGCGCGCTCGGCGCGGACCCGCCTGCTTCTGCGTCCCGCGCGCCCCGCCCCGCCCTGCTGCCGGTCGGAGCGGGGAGGGGGCTGCGTCCGTGTGTGTCCTCGTGTGGCCTCCCCTCTGCACGCCCCTCCTCCCCGCTGCGCCCTGGCCAGCCCCGCAGGGCCCGGGAGCGGCTGGCGCGCCGGCTCGCATTAACCAGGCGCCCGTCTCTGTCTCTGCCCTGTGTTCTAGAGGAGGATGAGGCTGCAATGGAGCGCGCGCGCTTCAGTGCCACGTCAGTAGCTGATGTGGACAAGCGTGTGAAACGGCGGCTCCTCATGGGTAACTCTTCTTCCACTTCCTTTGCCCCCCGCTGGCGTGCGCGCGTGTCCGTGTGCGCCGCGAGCGCGTGCATGTGCCTGCCGGGCGGAGGCGTGTGTGGATGCGTGCGCGCGTGCGTGTGCGCACACGAGTGCGCGCGCGTGTGCTTGTGCCTGCCGAACAGAGGCATGCGTGAGTGTGCGATTGCGTGTGTGCGTGAGTGTGCGTGTATGTGCGGGTGCCCGCCGAGCAGATGCATGCGTGTGTACGTGCGTGCATGCGCGTGTGCGTGTGTGCGCACGAGTGCACGCGTGTGTGCTTGTGCCTGCCGAACAGAGGCATGCGTGAGTGTGCGATTGCGTGTGTGCGTGAGTGTGCGTGTATGTGCACGCGCCTTCCGAGCAGATGCGTGCGTGTATACGTGTGTGCGTGCACACACGAGTGCGTGCGTGTGTGCTTGTGCCTGCCGAACAGATGCATGTGTGTATGTGCATGTGTGTGTACCTGTGCCTGCTAAGCAGGTGCATGCGTGTATATGTGCGTGTGCGTGTGCGTGCACGTGCATGCATGCATGTGCCTGCTGAGCACATGCGTGCGTGCACACGCACGTGTGTGCTTGTGCCTGCCGAACAGAGGCGTGTGTGTGCGCACGTGCGTGTGCCCGACAAGCAAACGAGTGTGTGCGCGCGCATCGGCGTGTGCGTGTGCACGTGTCTGCCGAGTGGGTGCGTGCACGCGCGCACGTGTGTGCGTGAGCGTGCCTGCATGTGTGCATACGCGGATGCTCGTGCACGTGCCGTTGAGCAGATGCGTGTGTGCGTTATGGACCTGCTGAGCGGGTGTGTCCGTGCGTGTGCCTGCCGGAACGGGCGTGTGCGCGTGCACGTGCGTGTCCCGGCGCGTGTGCGCCCATGCGCGTGCGTGTATGTGCATGCGCGTGCCTGCCAAGCGCGTGCCTGCGTGGGAATGTGCGTGCGCGTGCATGCACATGCGTGCCCTGCGTGCGCGAGCCTGCCGAGCGCGTGCGTGGGCCGCGTCCTTGCGTGTGCGTCCGTCCGTGTGTGAGGCGGGAGCTCCTCTCCGGATTGCACACCTTCTTTCCCCTTTATAAATTCTTACGCCCCCTTGAGTACTTGCCCCCCCCCCAGGCGTGTCCCGGGGCTCTGCGGGATAGAGCTGGGGGGGGTCCAGCCTTGCAGCGCCCGCCCCCACCCCTCCAGCTCATCTCGGATGCGCGCGGGCCCCCGGGAAGGTCCACTCGGGCCCTTGCAGCCTGGACAACGGCGCCACTGACCTGGTGCCTCGTGACCCACGGGCTGCCCAGCTCATGGGGGACCCCAGGCCCAGACCCGTTGGCCCTAGCCCCACACAGGGCGCCCCGGCCCTGGGCTGGGTCCACTTTGAGGGGCGAGGGGCGCCCTCCTGAGTCAGCCGCTGCTGGACAGACGAGGGGCAGGAGGGGCCGCCACGCTGAGTGAAGTGGACAGAGCAGGCCCTGGTGGCCGAGCGGGAGCCCAGGTGCCCCGAACTCAGTCTGCCCGCCCCCACCTTCCCGGGCCTGGGTCGCTTCGTCCAGCTCCTGGAGCTGCCTAGGGGCAGCGGTCCAGCCTGGACTCCCAACTGCGGTCACTTCGTGCTGACCTTCGGGGTCGCCCCCTTGGATGTTTCTTGGACAGCCTCAGAGGCCAGGGCGCCGGGAGTGCGGGTGCCCCTGGGATGGGCAGGGCTGGACCATGATGATGCCACCCATTGAGACAGACCTGGGGGCTGGCAGTGTCCGGGACCCTGGAGTCCCGTTGGTGGCACACACAGACAGACCCGCTCCGCCAGCAGCCATGCCCCCCTGCCCAGAGCTGCCTCATGGGCTCTGGGAGGGGCTCAGGAAGGATGAGGATGCGGGGACCCCCAGCAAGTCCCAAGAAGGGGGCAGGGTGGCACGAAGGCGGCTGGAGGCAGGTGGGGGACCCCAGGGCCAGGCGGAAATTATTTGGAAGTAGGTCGCACCCCGTGCTGACCCAGTCACTCAGGGCCAGAGGAAGGCAGGCGCGAGGCCGGGGTCGGCGCAGGGGGCTCCCCAGCAGTGCCGGTTCCCAGACCCCGAAGCGGGGCTCGGGGGCGAGCAGGGTCTCCATCCTGGGGTGCGCCATCCCTGCGGCTTGCTCCCCCAAAGCAGCGCCGTGAGAGGCGGCAGCGGAAGGACCAGGCTCAGAGCGGCCCCTGTGGTGGGTCGGGAAACGGGGTGGGGTGGGGAGCACTGTGCGGGGAGTCCTGGGCCCGTCCCATCCGGCAGTGCTGTTTCTGAGTGCCTGCGGTCCTCTGGGCATAGGCGCCGCTGCGAGGCCTGGGGATGGGTGATGGGGCTGAGATTCGGGTTGAGGTCAACGTGGACCCGGCACCAGAGGGTCAGCTTGGCCTTCGGGGTGCTTCCAGGCCCCCCCAGGGCTCCAGCAGCAGCAGCGGGAAGAGATGGGGGGCAGGCCTGAGCTCTCTCGGGTGCCCTGCCCGCCTATCCACTCCCGGCACTGATCGCTGGACCCCCACTGTCCACGCCTGGCCCTGAGACGTGGGTTTCTCCGCTGCTGGGGTCAGCCTGGCTCCGCTCTCCCGGCCCCTCCCCCACCCCTCTCGAGCCTCCGTGACACCCACGCCCACTGGCTCCGGCCCCTTCTGCCTTTAGCACATGACCCTCCCCGGAAGCCCCCCATCAGGACCCCCGTACACCCCACAGAGGCCCCCCCAGTGCCGAGGGCATTGCCTCCCGTCCTCACGGCTGTCCCCACCACCTGACCGGGTCACAGGGGGGCAGGGGCATTGGGCCGGCTGCAAAGTGTCTGCACCCCGAGTCCAGACTGACTCGGACTCTCGGCTCAGCACCCATCCCGACCATCAGACGAACAGCCAGGCCAGGGAGACGTCCCCTCCTGGCACAGCCCAGGACAGGCACCTGTGCCCACGTGACACTCTGGAGAGGTGGAGTGTCACCCCTAACGCCCCACAGGCCGGCGTTCTCTGGAGCGCAAACTCTCCCTCTCTCCCTCTCTCTCCCTCTCCCCCTCCCTCTTTCTCTCCCTCTCTCTCTCCCCGCACACCCCTTCCTGCACCCGCTGCAGCCTTGGGCTGTGCCCTTGCAGGGACCCAGGAGTCCCCTCTCAGCCCGGTTAGGCCTGGCGGCAGCTGACGCCCCCAGTCTCCTCTTCAGCCGGGGACGGACACGGTGCTCTGGGGAGGGATCGGACAGCACATCTCATCCCTGAGCGTGGGGGCCAGAGCTCGGGGTTTACCCAGGAGGTGGGCGATGGGCACCCCAGCCAGGCAGCAGTGCAGGGGCCAGAGCCCGGTGCGCCTGGAGTCCGGGCGGGGCCTCGAAGCCATCTGCATCCATGGGCCGCGCTGACCGAGGCAGGCGTGGCGGGGAGGTCACGCTCGGGGATGGGTCGCCCGCAGCCCTGATGGGCCTCGCCACCATCTCCTGACACCAGGGGCCATGGCTGCTCGGGACGGCGCCCGGTGTGGGGTGGCCTGGCCATGGGCCCTGGCCCGGCCCGTGAGGCCTGGGACCCCAAGTGCACGGCCTGGCGGAGACCAGGTGAGCAGACCCAGGCGGCGGGGGCCTCTTGGGGTACACCCTGGTCCGTACCTGCCTTGCGGGGAGCTGGATCCAGGGGGTGATGGGGCAGGTCAGGGGTCCTGGACCCCGGACCCCCTGGACACTTCCCCACAAGCCCCCAGCTGCCCCCCGGCCTGTCCACCCCACCAGCGTCCTCACTCAGTCACAGTGAGCCCCCTGGGATGGCCTCAGATATGGGGTCACCGGTCCTGGCCCGCCCTGAGGCTGGACTGCCGGGGTCCAGAAGCCCCTCTCCCAGTGGGCACGCAAACCGGGGCACCCTCCCTGAGACCACCCCCACCCAGCCACCCCCATGCCGGGGTCCCACGGGGACCACTGGGGGGTGCAGATCACCCCCACCCGCCCAGTCCGCAAGGGACCGGCATTCTGGCCGTACGCAGAACACCTGAGCCGGGCCGAGTTGGAGGCACCCCAGGCCTTTAGCGCCCACCAAGAGTGCAGGGGACCCTCAGCCAGGCATGCCAGTCAGGCCCAGGGGGCAGCCCCCCACCCCCGACAGAGCCGGCCACTGTCAATCTGCCGGGTCCCTTTCTCCCTGCCCCCAGGCCCGTGTGCTGGACCCCCCCTCTGCCGTTGCCCAGTTGAGCCCCCCAACCCTTGCGGTCCCCCCAACCGTGCTGGTGCCAGTGACCCCCTGCCTGCTCCATCCCCGAGCCCCCCGCTGCCGCCCCAGAGCAGCAAACACACATTCTGCTCTAGAGACAGTGCTCCTGGCTCGCCCATGTGGCTGCTGGGGTCCCACCCGGGATCTGCCCCCCATGGGGCCTGGGAGAGCAGAGCGGGGGTCTCATGAGGGTCCCTGACTCCTCGTCCTGGGTCTATGGGGCTGCAGGCGGAGACTGTCTCCTTGTGACTGTCGGTCGGGTCTCGAACCCAAGGCCTCCCGCCCATGATCCGCGGCCTCTCCCAACTTCCTGTTTCATCTCAGTATTTTCTCCTGGGTGACCTTGGAGCCTCCCGCACCTGTGAAGGAGCCCGGGCCTGAGGGACCAGTCATGGGGGTCTTGCCCGCAGCCCCCAAGCCCCAGTGTCTGGGGGGCCTGAGGAAGACACTTCAGAAAGGCCCTGAGCTCTTGGGGGATGCCAGGCTGCAGGCCACACGCGGGGGGCCCAGGGCTCAGGGTCTGAGACACGACTGGGTGTCCCCGTGTGCAGCGTCACCTGGCTGGGGGAGGGAATCCCGGGATTCTGAGTCCTGGGCGACAGAGGTCTCTGTCGTGGGCACTGAGGGCCCCTGGCCCCCTGGGGTGACCCAGGCCAAGGCCTCCCCACACCCCCTCGCCCCCGGGACCAGCCCCTCCATTCCACCCGGACAGCCTGGCCTGTCCCTGGCCGGGGCCCGGACAGCATCTGCCCGTCCCCCTGACCCCGGCAAAGACAAGGCGATGGCAGCCGGGTGGTGGCCGCGGTCCTGGGGGGATGACACAGTGGCCCAAGGGGGCAGGGCCGGGCCTGAGCACAGGGCGAGATGCCCAGGGAGACGCCCAGGGAGACGCGAGATGGGCCCTCAATCCCCCCATGCAGACGTGCGGCTCCCCAGGGGTCGGGGACCCTCAGCCGGCGGCTCTGGGGAATCCCGAGGTCGGCAGCCTCCGCGGCCACAGCTGTCGCTCACGCCACGCCCCAACCTGCCCTGCCCTAGGGGCTGCAGGGAGGAGCCGGGGTCTGAGGGTCAGGGGCTGCAGGGTCCCACGGTGACCTCCATGCCCGACGCCCCTCGCTCTGGGGGGGCTGGGACCCCCTATCCCATCGGGGCCTCTGGGAAGGGACGGGAGAGCTGGACGCCTCTTCGGGGGGCTTCGTGCACCCACCCCGCACCCCGCCCTCTCTGAGCGCCCCCCAAAGGCTCCTGGACCCAGGGCCGGGCTGCAGGTGTCCTCGGCCCTCCCGCCCCTCTGTGGGGGTCCTCAGCAGGGGAAGGTCTGCCAAGTGCGGCCGAGCACTGGGCGTGGGGTTCGGGGCTAAGCGGCCCCTCTCGCGGCCGTCACCCCCCACACCCCGGGGCCTTCCCACAGGCAAAGGTCTGCGGGTTCCTCTCGTAGGAGCTGGGGCCCCTGTGACTGTCCCCTCCTGTGGGGCCCCCTCTCCCTGCCCGTGGGAGCCCCCCAGCCGCCAGTGGGAAGAATAAACCAACTGGGGGACCCGCAGGGAAAGGTCTTTGGCTGGTGCAGGTGGCCCTGCCCGGTGCCTCGGGGCCCCTGGCTCTCTGCACCCCGGTCAGTTGGTTGGTCCAGGCCAATGGGGTCACCAAGCCCAGCCCCATGAGAGCCAAGGCTGCCGCGCCCCTCGCTGGCCCCCAGCCCCGCCCCCCCGGCCTGGGCTGGCTCCATCTGTCTCTCCCCGCGGGGTCCGGACCCCGCAGCCTGCGGCCCCCAAACCCCTTTGAATCTGCAGACGGGGAAAACTACCAAGTCCCCATGAGCCTCACGGGGACAAAAAGTGACACAGTTGTCTCGGCCCCGGGGAGCAGGGCTGGGGCCGCGGGGGTGTGTCCAGGTGTGCAGGGCTGGGGCTAGGGGGGGGCCCGTCCAGGGATACAGGGCTGTGGGGGTTCGTCCAGGGGTGCAGGGCTGACCCACGGGCCCGCACACTCCCGGCCGGGGTGCCCGCCCTGTGCCCCCTACAGGCCCCGGGGCTCAGGCCCGTCTCTCCCTCCCCAGAGACCTGCGCGGTCAACAACGGCGGCTGCGACAGGACATGCAAGGACACGGCCACGGGCGTCCGGTGCAGCTGCCCCGTGGGCTTCACGCTGCAGCCCGACGGGAAGACGTGCAAAGGTCAGAGGTCAGAGGCCGGCCGAGTCCCCGCGGGACCCGCGTGGCTCTGGGCAGGCGGGCAGCAGGGTCTCTGCCGTGGGGGTCCCGGGTCTGCCCCCCCGGACGCGAGGACCCTGCACGCATCTCGGGGAGGGACGGGGTGGGGACGGGGTCTGGGATGCCCGAGACGATGATGTCTCTTCCCGTGGCTCCTGGCGCGAGGGGTGTTCTGGGACTCCCAGGGGTGAAGGGGGCCGGGGGTCCCCAGCATAGAAGCCCCCCCATCCTCCCAGTGCTCCCAGCTCCTAGAGGCGGCTGTGGGTGAGAAGGTCCCTGAGGCCGGGGGACTGCGCCCTGGGGGCCTCTCGCAGCCTTGGGATGGAGAACGTGGCCCATCATTTTAAAAGGATGATGTCTGTGGCCCGGCCAGGCTCGGGTCAGCCGTGTGCCTACAGGGGGTGGGGACACCCCCCGAGCTCACCAGCCCAGGAGGGTCTGGCTGGGCCAGCTACGGCCCAAGGGGACGGACTCGGGCCCAACTCAGACACCAGAGGGCGAGACCCTGGCCTGGAGCCCCCAGCCCAGATCCCCTGCCCTGAGCAATGGCCGACACCCAGCCCAGCCAGCCTGAGGCGACAGAGAAAGGCTTCCTAGGGTTTCACAGGGTTCCTGGGAGTCCCAAAGTAACACCAAGCCGTGGGGACTGAGGCCCGCGTGGGAAAACCCCGGCCGGAAGCCCCCCTTGGGAGTGGGAGGCTATACTTAGACCTCAGAGTCAGGGCCGGAGCGTGGAGGGCGTTTGCCTTGCACACGGTCAACCCGAGTTTGATTCCCAGCATCCCATAGGGTCCCCCGAGCACCGCCAGGAGTAACTCCTGAGCGCAGAGCCAGGAGGGACCCCTGAGCATCGCCGGGTGTGACCCAAAAAGCCAATAATAATAGTAAAGTAAAAGTAAAGGCCCTCCCGTTGATCATCGATTTGCTCGAGCGGGCCCAGTAACGTCCTGGGCGGGGGGGGGGGGGGGAGGGGGGGGGGTCCTGGACCAGCCCTCCTTCCCCTTCTCCTGGCCAACCCCACCTGGCAGATGCCTTTCACGTGGCCCCCGGGGGGGTGGGCCTCCCAACCTGGCCACGGCCCCCCCACTACTCCCCCCATCGCCCTGCGGACCCCCGACAGACGCAGCCCAAACCCATCTCTGTCCTCCAGACCCATCGCCCCAAGACACAGGGCAGATCACTCTGGGAGGGACTCGCAAGAAAGTTCCAGAAGCAGGGACCACCCTCCCCAGGACAGTGGGTTTCTGAGCAGAGGGGCCACTGGGCTCCCCAGGAGCTCAGCTGGGAGCAGAATCTAGGGGGGCCCAGACGCTGCCCCCCAGGGCCACCAGATGGTCCCCCAAACCCCCTGAAGTGGTCCCTGAGCCAGGAGTAAGCCCTGAGCACCCCCGGGTGTGACCCCAAAACAAACCACAAGAAAGTGTTTTCTGTGGAATTGCCGAGCGTGTGTGTGTGTGTGTGTGTGTGTGTGTGTGTGTGTGTGTGTGTGTGAGCGCCGGGGACCCCAGGCCCAGCGTCCCCCCTGGCAGCCGGCGTGACTGTCCCCTCCCTTGGTGCTCCAATGCCCGGGCTGAGCTGGGCTTCTCTCCCGCCCACCGCCCTCGGCCCCTGCCCCCGGCCCCCCGCAGACATCAACGAGTGCCTGGCCAACTCGGGCGGCTGCGACCATTTCTGCCGCAACACGGTGGGCAGCTTTGAGTGCGGCTGCCGGAAGGGCTACAAGCTGCTGACGGACGAGCGCAGCTGCCAGGGTAAGCTGGCGGGCAGGGGTGGGGGCGGGTGGGGGTGGGGGGGGTAGCTCGCCAGGGACACCGCCTGGCCACGGGGAGCCAGGACCCAGCCAGGTCACGGAGCTGGTGGCCAGCAGCTCTGCCCTGCCAGGTCCTCCCGTGGCTGTGTGTGTGTGGGGGGGGGGAGGGCGTTAAGGGGGTTGGGGGGAGTTCTGCCCCCCCACGTGGCTTGAGGGGCAGAATGCTGCCACCTGGTGGAAGGCGCTGGCCATTGCAGGGGCTCTCCTGCAGTCCGCCCAGGGGTGCCCCAGAAGCAGAGACAGTGGGAGAGTTGGGGGGGGGGGGGGAGGTGTCGAGAGAGCACAGCGGGGAGGGCACTGCCCTGCACCCAGCCACCTGCACGCAGTCCCCAGCACCCCACACTCTGCTCAGCCCCATCAGGAGTCACCCCTGAGCACTGCTGGGGGTACCCCAAAACCAAATTTTATATGTGTATATAGAATTATATATATTGTATTATATATGTCAATGCTATTATATTAAGTATAGAGTGCCTGCCTTGCACACGGCCAACCCGGGTTCGATTCCTCCACTCCTCTCAGAGAGCCCAGCAAGCTGCCGAGAGTATCCCGCCCGCATGGCAGAGCCCGGCAAGCTCCCCATGATATATTCGATATCCAAAAACAGCAATGAGTCTCACAGTGGAGACGTTACTGGTGCCCGCTCGAGCAAATCGATGAACAACGGGAGGACCGTGCTACAGTGCTGTGTTAATCTCTTATTAATAATAACGTTAACCCTAATAACATCTATATGAGGGTCAGGCAGGGAGCGGGCAGGGCTGCTTAGGAGCTTAGATGGGGCTGGCCTCATTTGATCCCCGGGCCCAGGCAGGGTCCCCCAAGCACCGCCAGGAGTGACCCCTGAGCACTGGGCCTGGCCCCCAAACCGAACATGAGAACAGAAAATAAACTAGCAGAGTCCTCCCAGCCCCTCTCGCGGTGCTGCCCCCTGGTCCCCGGGGAGAGGGGATGGGAAGGGCGGGGTCCTCACCCGCATCCCCCACCCGCCTGTCCCGCAGACATCGACGAGTGCTCCTTCCGGCGGGCCTGCGACCACATCTGCGTCAACTCGCCCGGCAGCTTCCAGTGCCTGTGCCGCCCCGGCTACGCGCTCTACGGCGCCACCCACTGCGGAGGTCTGCAGCCCCCCGGGGCCACCTCCCCGAGGCACGCGCCGACCTGCCGGGCCTAGGGGGCACCTGAGCTGAGCAGGACCGGGAGGGAAGGAAGCCTGGGCACGCCGTGCTCTCCGCGGTTAGGGGACGCCAGGCAGCCGAGAGCTCCGTGCTGGGGTCCCGCCGGAGAGGCCCAGCCGGGAGGCCAGGAGGGAGGGAGGCCGCGAGGAGGGGCCTGAGCAGAGGCTCCGGGAGGTTGGGGAGGGCGGGGGTCCGTGCACCCCGGGTTGAAGCAGGCAAGTCAGGTTTCCGCTGGCTCTGGGCATGTGTGAACGTGACATGTACTTGTGTGTGCACCAGGCATGTGTGTGTGCTGAGAATGTGAAAATATACTGTGTGTATGTGTGTGCAGGTGGTGTATACATGTGTGCATACATAGGTATACACACATGCACACACATATGTACGCATGCCTGATGCACAAGTGCACACACATGTGTGCACCAGGCATGTGTGCACATGTGGTACATGTGTGTGTGGTGTGGGAGGTAGACATACATGTGTGGTGGTGTATACATGTGTGTATACATAGGTATACACACATGCACACATATGCATGCCTGATGCACATATATACACACATGTGTGCACGAGGCATGTGTGCACATGTGGTACACATGTGTGTGGTGTGGGAGGGAGACATACATGTGTGGTGGTGTGCACATGTGTGTATACATAGGTATACACACGTGCACACATATGTACGCATGCCTGGTGCACATGTGCACATGCATGTGCACGAGGCATGTGTGCACATGTGGTACACGTGTGTGGTGTGGGAGGGAGACATACACATTCATGTGCATCGGACATGCGTACATATGTGTGTGCATGTGTATGCGTGTGGTGGATATATGTGTACATTGGTCATGCACGCAAACGTGGTGCACGAGTGTGTGCACATGATGTACACACGTGTGTATCAGGCACGCGTGTACACACAGTGCATGAGTGTGCGTGATGTACGTGTGTGTGCATGGGGCATGCGTGCCCATGCGGGGCAGGCGTGTGTGCCCCTGTGTGCACCCGTGTGCGTGGGGCGCCGTGCTGCTAGCGGAGTGGCTGGCTTGGAGGCGGCTGTCAGGCTGGGCTCCGCTCCTGCTGCCCCGTGGGCCGTGGGGCCGCAGCGCCTCACCCGCGTGTGCCCGCAGACGTGGACGAGTGCAGCGTGAACAACGGGAGCTGCGAGCAGGGCTGCGTCAACACGGAGGGCAGCTTCGAGTGCGTGTGCCCGCCCGGGCGGCGTCTGCACTGGAACCGCAAGGACTGCGTGGGTGAGTGCGGGGCGCCCCTGGGGAGCGGCGAGCAGGCCGGGCTCAGGGCGCCGGAGGCTCCACCCCCAGAAAGCCAGAGCCTCACTGGGCGCGGGCCTGGGCCCCCCACACACACAGGCAGCCTGCCCCCACCTGAGCTGCAGGGAAACCCCCGACGTGACGGGAGCCCCGGCTGCCGTCCCCAAGTGAGGCGACACTCAGCTCCTTTGGTCTGAGTCTGGCGCGACCTGAAGGGAACAGAAGCCTTAAGAGGCTCGAGGCGTGAGCTGGACTCTAGCAGGGAGGACGTGTGCTTTGATCCTGGCAACACAAAGGTTCCCCGAGCACAGAACCAGGAGTGACCCTGAGCACAGAGCCGGGAGTCAGCCCTGAGCACCTCTGGGTACGGCCCCAAAACCAAAAAAAGAAAAATAATTCCTTGGGGGCAGTGGATGCTCAGGCTGGGCTCAGCCTTAGGGCCATCCCTGGGACAGCCGGGTCCCTGGAGCACAGAGCCGAGAGTAGCCCAAGCACTGCCCAGTGGGGCCCTAAAGCAAACAAGGAAACAGATTCAGACCGAGCTGGGGGTCGGCGAGTCTCCCTGAGCCGTGAGTTTGCTTTTCTTCATCCTGAATTCATTTCACGCTCCTGCGGCCTGTCCTGCCGTGACCTGAGCCATGTCACCTCCCACGGCACTTTTTTTTCCAACTAAAATCTCATTTCTTTTTGGGGGTTAGTAGGGGGGTCACTTACAGCAGTGCTCAGCGGTTCCTCCCGGCCCTGTGCTCAGGAATCACTCCTGGCGGTGCTCTCTGGGATGCCGGGGACCCAGCCCGGTGGGCCACGTGCCAGGCAAACGCCCTCCCCGCTCTGCTATATTGCTCCGGCCCCTACAAACCCCATTTCCGCCCCCTAGCCCCACCCCTGCTCATCCAGCTGCAGGGCTGGTACTGACCGGTGGCCACTTGGACATCCAGAGTCACCTGTGCTGAGGCCCGGGGGCGCTCACGCTCTGAGCCCAACCCAGCAGTGCCTTGGGGGGTTGGCACACACAGCTCCTGCAGAGCCCGTGTTCCCAGTGTGTGCCAGAGCCTAGGCGGGGGCAGGGGTGGGGGGTGGGGGGCCTGCTGGCAGTAGGGCACAGAGGCAGGAACTCCCAAGCGCGTTAGTTCGCCGAGCAAGGCAGAGACCCACGCAAGGATGCACTGGGAGGCCGATCCCTGGTTGCCAAGGCGACAGAGTCCGGCTCCAGGCTCCCGTGGGTGATGCTCAGACCCAGCCCGTCCTCGGCATTTCCTGCCCCTGACGCTGCCCGCTTCACACAGGGGTCTGTCGTCCTCACCAGGGCCAGTGCCGGCAAGCCCCGGCCTGACCTCCCGGACCCGGACCCCCTGCTCCCAGCAGCCCTCTCTCGCATCTTCCTTCCCGCAGACACGGGTCAGTGCCTGTCCTCCCGGGCCAAGGCCTGGCCGCGCACGCAGCTGACCTGCAGCCGGACGGGCGGCGTGGAGAGCTGCTCCCTCTCCTGCCCCGTGCACACGCTCTCTGCCCCAGGTAAGGGCAGCCCGGGGCGGGGGGGGCGCCCCCCCGCGGTCTCTGCTCCCCCCTCCCCTACCCCCGGGGTCCCGGCTCTCACCCCCGTCTCCCCGCAGACTCGGAGAACAGCTACAGCCTGAGCTGTGGCGTCGCGGGGCTCCGGGGCAGGACGCCCCAGAAGCGCAACAGCACCGGCCCCGGCTGCCCAGGTAACCTCTGACCCCCCCCCACCCGAACCCGGCCGTGGGTCCCGGTCTCTGAGCCCCACGGTGCCGTGGCGGCGACCCCTGACCCTGCATTGCAGGGGACCCTGGCCCCCTGGAGCCCCCGACACAGCAGGGAGGGGCTGGGGGGGTCCCGAGGCGGCCTGGGCGGTTCCCCAGACCCGTCTCCCCACGCTGCCTTTCCCTCTCTGCCGGCCTCACCCCCTTTTTCTCAGCATGAGCCGGGTGAGAGGCTGGGGGTGCCGGGGGAGGGAGACCCCCTGGCTGGAGCCTGGCCCCACACCACAGACGCTTTGGGGAGAGAATCTGACGCGGCCCCCGACCCCCACCCCGGCCGCCAGCCGCCCCTCCCACACCTGCCCACAGGGGAGGCCACACCTGGGGGGCTTTGGGCTTTCGCCAGGTGCCCCCGCCGCCCCCATCAGGCAGAAGGCCCGTTTCAAGATCCGAGATGCCAAGTGCCGCCTGCAGCCCCGTGGCCGCGAGCCCACCCAGGACGATCCCCGGCAGCTGCTGCCCGGTGAGCCCCGGACCCGGGGGCAGGACCGTTCTCCCCAGCACCACCACCGCCGCGGAGGGGTGCGGGGTCCCGGGAGTGGGGGGTGTCCCTCGTCCTCCCCACACGGTGGCAGAGGGAACTGTTCCGGGAAGGTGGCACTGCCAAGGGTGGCTCTGCACAGAAGGCCACCCAGAGCTTCCTGCTCAAGCCTGGCGGGGTGCCACGGGGTGAACCACAGGGCCCCGCCAGTGGCAGCGTAGGAGGAGGGTGGCCAGAACGAGGTTGTGTGGGCCCGAGCCGGGGCATAGCGGGAAGGGCAGTGGCCTGGCACGCGGCTGACCCTGATTCCGTCCCTGAGAGCCCAGAGAACCCCCGAGCACTGCCAGGAGTGAGCCCCGAGTACAGAGCTGGGAGTCAACCCTGAGCACTGAGCCAGGAGTCAGCCCTGAGCATAGAGCCAGAAGTCAGCCCCAAGCACAGCCAGGAGTGATCCCTGAGCACTGAGCCGGGAGTCAGCCCTGAGCACTGAGCCAGGAGTCAGCCCTGAGCACAGTTGAGAGTCAGCCCTGAGCACAGAGCCAGGAGTCAGCCCCGAGCACAGAGCCAGAAGCAAGCCCTGAGCACAGAGCCAGGAGTCAGCCCTGAGCACAGAGCCGGGAGTCAGCCCTGAGCACAGAGCCGGGAGTCAGCCCTGAGACCGGCCGGGTGTGGCCCCCACCCCGAATGGAGGCTGTGGGCTGTGGGCAGCACAGGGAGAAACTGGGGGCCGGGGGGGATGGTGGTCTGTCCCGGGGTCCCAGGGCCCTGAGCAGAGGGGCACAGGCGAGGCCGCGGCCACAGCCGTCCCGTCCCTGTCCAGAGAACGGCCACGTGACCTCCGTGACCCTCAAGTGCGACTCGTCCAAGAAGAAGCACCGTGGCCGCGTGGGCCCGTCCCGGGAGGCGACGCACATCACCGCCGAGTTTGAGGTGGAGACGGAGGCGGACGGGGCCTCAGGTGGGGGTGCCCGAGGGGGGCAGGGGGCAGCGGGGCAGGGGCGGCCACTAGGGGCGGGACCTGGGGTCCAGCCCCTCGCACTCAAACCGTCTCCCCTGGATGCTGAGGGACAGGCAAGCCCCCCAAGGCAGGGGTTGGGACCCCCGGCTCCCAGCACAGACCCACACCCTGGGGAGACCTTTACAGTGGGGGCCTTAGGACAAACAGGCAGCACGGAGCAGAGGCCTGCCCCGGGGAGCACCTAGGAAGTCTTCCTGGAGGAGGCAAATCGGACAAGAGCAGGGAACTGCCTGCACGCCGAGGGAACAGGAGAGGCAAAGGACAGAGGACAGAGAGAGCTGGGGGCGGGAGGGTGTTCAGGAAGCAGAGGGGGGCCGGGAGTGTGCGACCCCCGCTCTGCTCTGCTCCGGGCGGGGCGTGAGTGGGCTCTCCCCTCCCACAGGCTCCTGCGAGGCGCAGTGTCTGCAGAAGCGCGTGGAGCAGAGCCTCCAGGCCGCCGTCAGGGCCCTGCGCAGGGCCATCAGCCGCCAGCTCTTCTCCGTCCGGCTCGCGGGCACCGAGTACGAGGTGGCCCAGCGGCCAGCCAAGGCCCCAGACGGCCAGGGCGCGTGCAGCCTGGGCCAGGCACTGCAGGACGGCAGATGCGGTGAGTCCCGCCCGCTGCCACCCCTCTCCTGGGGCTGGGGGGTGGAGGAGGACAGAACTCGGACACAGACGGCGGGCGGGCGGGGACAGAGGGGCAGGGTCCTGTCCTGCCCGGGGCAGTGCACAGCCGACCCTGGCTAGATCCCCGCACCCCACAGGGTCCCCGAGCACTGCCAGGACTGAGTCCCACTGGGCCAGGAGGTGACTCAGTGCAGGGTGTGTGCCGGGCGGGAGGCCGCGTGGCCATCAGGATGCTCAGCTCAGCCCCCGCCCTGCCCCGCTGGCCTTTGGCACGTCCCCTCGAGGGCGAGGTGGCCCCCCTGCGAGCATGGCCGGGTGGACAGTGCAGGCCCGTCTTCCTCCCACGCCTCGCTGCCTGGGGCTGGGCGGTGCCTCGGAGACTGTGCTCACGGCCGCAGCTGCGCTGTCCGGTGTTGGGTGCAGGGTTGGGACGGTCCCCATCAGCCCGCGGGCGCCCCTACATGGAACTGGGTCCTCGTGCCCCCCACGGCTGCAGGGACAGAGGGGGACATGGGCCACGGTGGACACTGCGTCTAGGCCCTCTGGGCAGGACGGGTGGGGGGTGGATTTGCGCAGACACACGGACACGATTTCAGTGACTTCTGTGTCGGAACGTGTGTGCACACGTGTGCGTGTACTCATGAGTGCCTGCAACGTGTGTGTCCTATGTGTTTTCATGTGTGCACATGTTTTGTGTGTGCATGTGTGCTGTTTGTGTGTGTGCTGTGCATTGTAATATGTATGTGCATGTTGTATGCGTGTACATGTCGTGTGTCATGTTCCTGTGCTGTGTCATGTATGTTGTATGTGCATGTGTGTATTGCAATATATATGTGCATGTTGTATGTGTGTACGTGTCATGTGTTGTGTGTTCCTGTGTTGTGTCATGTATGTTGTGTGTGCACGTGTGTATTGCTGGGTGGTGTGTGCAGGTGTCATGTATGTATAGTGTGCATGTGTGTGCTGTATGTTGTGCATGTTCCTGCGTGTGTTGTGTGTACATGTGTCATGCATGTATGTGTGTTGCGTGTGCATGTTCCTATGTGTGTTGTGTGTATGTGGGCCACGCGAGTATCGTGTGCGTGTATGTCGTGTATGCACATGTTGTGTGTTTTGTCTGGTATGTGGCGTGTGCCTGAGTAGCCTGTGCATATCATGCATGTCTGTAGGTGATGCTGTGTGTCATGTGTGAGTGCGTGTTCCTGTGTGCGTGTGCTCGTGTGGCACACATGCGTTGCCGTGTGAGTGTGCGTATGTGTTGTATGTGCAGGTATGTGTGTGCGTGTGATAAAAACTAAAGCCACAGCCCCGCCCCTGCATGTCCCGCCACGGCCTGCCTGAGTTCCCAGGAGCGGGGCCCCTGCACGGGCAGGAGAAGGGACAGGCACGTGGTTTAGACGGAAGGACGGACGTGGAGGGGACAGAACCAAGCCGGGCAGACCAGGCGCCACAGGAGGGAGAGGGGGCGGGCACGGCGTGGGGGGCACAGGCGGGGTCGGGCCTCCCGGGCCTCCCACCCACACTCGGGGAGGGGCCCTCAGCCCGACAGGCGCCCCCTCGGTCCCAGCCCCGCACCCCCGCCCTGTCCCTGCAGTGCCCTGCGGCCCTGGCACCCACTTCGACGGGGAGCTGGGCCAGTGTGCGCCCTGCCCGCCGGGGACCTACCAGGACCGGGAGGGCCAGCTCGGCTGCACCCCGTGTCCCAGCAGCGACGGCCTGGGCCTGGCCGGCGCCCGCAACGTGTCTGAGTGTGGAGGTGGGTGCGGGTTCGCATGTGGGAGGGGGCCGGGGGGAGGGGCCCATCCATGTGGACCAGCACCCCCAGGTTCCCTCAGGCTGCCGTGAACAGAGCCCGGGCCACACCCGCGTGGGCAAGGGAGGCGGCTCTGCGGCACGGCGCAGGTCTCCGTGGCGAGGCCAGATTCCATCCCTGCCCGGGAAAGGAGCAGCAGACACATGCCGAGCCATGGCACAGGGCCCCTGAGCCACAGGACAGGACCCCCAAGCCACAGGACAAGACCCCTGAGTCACAGGACAGGGCCCTGAGCCATGGAACAGAGCCCTGAGTCACAGGACAGAGCCACGGGAAAGGACTCCCCCAAGCCATGGGACAGAGCCCCCGAGCCACGGGACAGGACCCCAAAACCATGGGACAGAGCCCCCAAGGCATACGGCTGCATCGTTTACAGCCGCTGCCCTTGGCCTCTGCAGCCACTGAAGCTGCCTGACGCACATGGTGCCCCGTGGGGGCCAGCAGGGTCCTCTGTGCCATGGCTCCCATCCCGGGGCATGTGGTCGGCGTGTGCCGTCTCCACTCCTTGGGCATGTCATGCTTTGCCCTGGGGGTGTCCTAGAATCCCCTTCTCAGTCCACTGACCTTGGCCCCATCTGTGAATGGGCCCAGCCACACCCTCTCCTGGGCCACGTGGCCGGCACCCAAGTGAACGGGGTGGAACAGGGCACCCAGGCTTGGGAGCAGAGGGACGACGCGCTCGGCCTTCTTGGGGACGGGAGCGCCCACAGCCCTGTCCAGTCTTTGTGGGCGCCCTGGGGTGGACTGAGCACCCCCCCCCGTGCAGACCCGCCTCTGCCCCTGCTCTCTGCGAGCACGTGTGGGCCTGGGACCCTGCACACCCTCCTTTCCCCGGCTTGACCCTGGGGGACGTGCCCCCCCCACTGCCAGAAGGTGGGGCCCGGCCAGAACCTCCCGGTGCTGGGGGGTGGCTGTCCCCCGCTCTGTGGCAGGGCACCCACTCAGCGCTGCCCGGCCGTCCAGGCCAGTGTCTGCCAGGCTCCTTCTCGGCCGACGGCTTCCGGCCGTGCCAGGCCTGTCCGGTGGGCACGTACCAGCCTGAGCCAGGGCGCACCAGCTGCTTCCCCTGTGGCGGGGGGCTGCTGACCAAGCATGGGGGCACCACCTCCTTCCAGGACTGCGAGACCAAAGGTAGGACCTCCCGGGAGCCCCCCAGCCAGAGCCCCGGGATCCCCAAGGGGTCCAACCCAGCCCCACTCCCAGCCCGGCCAGCCCCCACCTCTGCTGACCTGGAAGACCCCCAGGGAAGCCCCCTCTGCTGAGTGTCTGGTCCGCGGGCCACCCGGGGCTGGACTTCGCGGGAGAGACGCCCCCCGCGGGAGCTCGGCCCCCATCACCCCTGCCTGCCCGGCCACCCCCGCCCCGCCCCTGCCCTGCCACCCCTCCCTGGACAGACCCGGCTCACGCCCCCCGCAGTGCACTGCTCGCCGGGCCACCGCTACAACACCACCAGCCACCGCTGCATTCGCTGCCCCGTGGGCACCTACCAGCCCGAGTTCGGCCAGAACCACTGCGTGGCCTGTCCCGGCAACACCAGCACCGACTCGGACGGCTCCACCAACGTCAGCCACTGCAAAAGTACGTCCCGGCGGGGACCCCCGTGTGGGCGCTGCCAGCCCGGCCCTGGGCCCCGGGGCCGCCCTCCTGGCCTGCTGTCCACTGCCCTGGTCATGGAGGGAGACGGGGAAGGGCAGTTCTCTGTGTGTGTGTGCGTGTGTGTGTGTGTCTGGGTGTGAGTCTGTGAGTGTCTGAGTATCTGAGTGTGTGTCTGTGTGTTTGTGAGTCTGGGTGAGTGTGTGGGTAGGTGTGTGTCTGGGTGTGAAAGTGTGTAACTGTGTGTGTCTGTGAGCATGTGAGTGTGTGTATCTGAGTGTGTGTCTGTATATATGTGTCTGGGTGTGTGTGAGCATGTGAGTGTGTCAGTGTGTGTGTCTTTGTGATTGTGTGTATCTGAGAGTGTGTCTGTGTGGGTGTGTATCTGTGCGTGTTTCTATGTCTGTCTGAGTGTGGACGTGCGTATCTGAGTGTGTGTCTGTGTGTAGATGTGTGTCTGAGTGTGTCTGTGTGTGGATGTGTGTATCTGAGTGTGTGTGTCTGTGTCTGTCTCTACGTGTATGTCCATATGTGTGTGTCTTGTGTGAGTGCGTGTGCGTGTGTGTGCGTCTCTGCGGGTCTGTCTGGGGCTGGGGTGGACACAGGCAGCCCTGGACTCTCCTGCCCTTCCCCGTCCCTGTGTCCAGCCCACAGCCCCTTTCCCGGCCTCTCCCCGCAGGGCCCCCCGGAGGGAGGCGGGTCGCCCCTCAGGGACCTCCTGCTCCCTGCGGAGCCTGGGCAGGCGTGAGGGAAACTGAGGAAGGAGGGAGGGGCAGGGGGCCCAGGCCCGCGCGCCACAGCTGGCTCTGCCGGCAGCCGGGTCCCCCGGAAGACCAGCCGCCTCGGCCCCCCCAGACCAGCACTGCGGAGGCGAGCTGGGCGACTACACGGGCTACATCGAGTCCCCCAACTACCCCGGCGAGTACCCCGCCAACGCCGAGTGCGTGTGGCACATCTCCCCACCGCCCAAGCGCAGGATCCTCGTCGTGGTCCCCGAGATCTTCCTGCCCATCGAGGACGAGTGCGGAGACGTCCTGGTCATGAGGAAGAGCGGTAGGTGCGGGCGCGGGGCCGGGGCACGCTGTGCGTGCACACGCATGCACGCGCCGTGGACTACACAAACACTCTCCATATACTACACACATGAGCGTGCACCCCCGTATACTACACACACATGCACACATACCCCATATGCCACACACACTCCATATACTGTGTGCACACGCACACCCCATACACCCCATATACTACACACACACACAAACCCCATATACTACACACACATGCACACACTCCATATACTACACACATACACCCCATATACTACACACACACACACAAACACACATGCAATCCGGAGCACGCAGCACATGCACACATGCACACAATCATATGCTGTACTCACACACACTCCATACATTACACACACCATATACTACACGCACACACAAACACACATGCAATCTGGGGCACGCCTCACATGCACACACTCCATAGACTATGTGCACACGCACATCCCATACACCCCATATACCACACACACGCATACACTACACAGTATACAATTACACTACAATTCCATATACTACACAAACACACTCTCCATATACTACACACATGCATGCACCCCATATATACACATGCACACATACCCCACACACACATGCACACACTCCATATACTACACACATACACCCCCATATACTACACACACACACACACACACACACACACACACACATACACATGCAATCCGGAGCACACAGCACATGCACACATGCACACACTCATATGCTATACTCACACTCCATATACTACACACACACACACAAACACACATGCAATCTGGGGCACGCCTCACATGCACACACGCCATATACTACGTCACACACATAGACTCCATATACTACACGCACACGCGCGTGTGCGCACAGCTTGGGGTACACCACACAGACACGCTCCATGTACTATACCTATGCATACACACTCTACATGCCACACACACATGCAGCCCAGGGCACTCGGAACATGTACATGTACATGTACACGCACACACGCACACGCATACACTTGTGTGCACACAGCCCAGGCGCATTCTGCACACTCTTTCAGACACGTTCCCCCACACACCCCAGCAGGCTCAGAAGGGCCGGCGGGGGCCAGAACCCCTGCGCGAGGCAGGGCTGCTTTCCTCCTGGCGCTGAGCAGGTCTGGAATAAGGAGGGGCACCAGCGCAGGAGCGGGATGGGCTGGGCACGCAGCAGTCAGGGAGGCTTCCCGGAGGAGAGGGCACCGCGACCGTCCTCAGAAGGTGGGGTCCGAACTGGGCTGGAGAGTGGGAAGGGCCTGGTGGAGCCCGGAGAGCGGGGGCATTTGGGAGCTCGTGTCCGCACCCCCAGCCTCGCCCACGTCCATCACCACCTACGAGACGTGCCAGACCTACGAGCGCCCCATCGCCTTCACCTCCCGCTCCCGCAAGCTCTGGATCCAGTTCAAGTCCAACGAGGGCAACAGCGGCCGCGGCTTCCAGGTGCCCTATGTCACCTACGACGGTAGGTGTGGGCGGGGCCACGCTGGGTGTGGGCGGGGCTATCGCTGGGTTGGGCGGGGCTATCGCTGGGTGTGGGCCTGGTGAGCGCTGGTGTGGGCGGAGCTACGCTGGGTGTGGGTGGGGCGTCGGTGTGGGCGGGGCGATTACTGGGCATGGGCGGAGCTATCACTGGGTGTGGGCGTGGCGAGCGCTGGGTGTGAGCGTGGTGAGCTCTGGGTGTGGGTGGGGCGATTACTGGGTGTGGGTGGGGCGAACACTGGGCATGGGCGGGGTGAACGCTGGGTGTGGGCGTGGCAAACACGGTGTGGGCGTGGTGAGCGGTGGGTGTGGGCTGGGCGAGCGCAGGGTGTGGGTGGGGCGATTACTGGGTGTGGGCGGAGCTATCGCGGTGTGGGCGTGGTGAGCGCTGGGTGTGGGTGGGGTGATTACTGGGTGTGGGTGGGGCTATCGCTGGGTTGGGCAGGGCGAGCGCTGGGTGTGGGCGGGGCGAACGCTGGGTGTGGGCGTGGCAAATACGGTGTGGGCGTGGTGAGCTCTGGGTGTGGGCGGGGCGCACCTGGCCGCGGAGTCTCGCTTGCTCGCTGGGGGCTCTTACGGCCGCCCCGCCCCGAGGGGTCCCCTCCACCTGCTTCTCCCCTGCCGGTTCCGGGGCGCAGAGGATTACCAGCGGCTCATAGAGGACATCGTGCGGGACGGGCGGCTCTACGCCTCCGAGAACCACCAGGAGATTCTGAAAGTGAGCGCGGCCCCCCGCGGGACCCTGGAAAGGGGCGCGGGTCCCTCCAGGCCAGGCAGCCTGCGACCCCCGTGCTGAGTCCTGGCCCGGCTCCTCTGGGCTCAGCTCGCCGCCTCGCCTGGGAAGCGGGCTGCTGGCCTGGGCAGGTGTGGGGGGCGGTGGGGAGGGGCCCAGAGGTGCCCCTGCTCAGAACAACACCAGCGCCCACCCACCCTTCCCCACCGGGCAGAGCCTGAACCCCGCACCCCCTCTCCTGGCTGTCAGGGTGACGGTTGGAGCTGGCTGCACGGGGTTCTCTGTGCCCCGCGATGTTGGGGTCCCGGCAGCAGAGCCATTTTCAGTCAAATACCAGAACCCCCAAAGTCGGGGCCGGAGTGAGAGCACAGTGGGGAGGGCATTTGCCTTGCACACGGCATCCGACCCGGGTTCGATCCCCAGCATCCCCTAGGGTCCCCCGAGCACCGCCAGGAGTAATTCCTGAGTGCAGAGCCAGGAGGAACCCCTGAGCATCGCCAGATGTGACCCAAAAAGAAAAAAAAAAGATCCCCCAAAGTGCACCAGCTTCCGGGCTGGGGAGGTAGCCCCGAGGGCCAGAGCACGTGCCAGGGGTTTGATCCTCAGCATCAGGCTGGCCGTGCCAAGGGGTCTCCACCCCGCTGTATATCTCCCCCCTTCTGCCCTCTCTCTCCCCCTCTCCCCCTCCCCCACCCCCGCCCCCCACCCAGGACAAGAAGCTGATCCAGGCGCTGTTCGACGTGCTGGCGCACCCGCAGAACTACTTCAAGTACACGGCGCAGGAGTCCAAGGAGATGCTCCCCCGGTCCTTCATCCGGCTGCTGCGCTCCAAGGTCACGCGCTTCCTGCGGCCCTACAAGTAGCCGCCCTGCCCGGCCGTCGGCTCGAGGCGGGCCCGGGAGAAAGCGGGGTGACCGGCGCCCCCGGGGACGCCCGGGAGCAGGGGCGAGGCAGAGTGGCCAGGCTGGGGATGCGCGGGCACCCTGGGGGGGCTTTGCTAGGTGGGGTCCCCGGGCGAGGGGCGCTCAGCCGGTGGGCTGGCAGGAGAGGCCCCCTCGAGGGGCGTCTGAGAAGTGTGTCTATATATATATGAATATAACTATAAATTTATATATTCTCTATTTGTGGGTGCGGAGGGGCCGTCCTCCTCCGCCCCCCCAGTCCAGCTGTTGCTGAGACGCTTCTCCAGATGCGGGCCCCTCGGTGAAGGGCTAGGGAGCAGTGCCGGGTCCCGGGGGACAGGGACCTCGGGGCCTCTCGAGTTCCTGAAGAGCCGGACCTGGCATGGGGCAGTAGCTGTTCTCTCTGAGGGGCCGGGGGCGGCTGCTGGGTGGATGCCGGGGTCCCAGCACTCAGGCCTTAGCCAGGCCTTCTCAGACCGACACCCCCCCCCGCCCTACCCCCAGTCCCAGCCTGGCCCAGCAGGGGGGAGCGGCTCGGAGGGGAGTGTCAGCCCCTGGGGCGGGCCTTCACCTGCACCCACAGGCAACAGTGACCATCAGCTCTGAGCAGCCCCCACCTCCTCCCCCCATTTCCTGCTGGGAGTTTGGGGGTCCCCATCGAGGGAGCAACCCTGCACCCCTGCCGCCCGGGCTGCGGAGGAGGGAGGGGCGATGGGTGAGTGGACCAGGGCGAGGCCTGGGGAAGGACAGTGGTCGGGTGGGGCGCAGGGCCTGCTGCCCCCAGACGTTGACGTGGGCCAGTCCAGAGCCCAGCCCCCCGCCCAGCAGCCGACAGGAAGCTGCCCTCCTGCCCAGCACCTGCCCTCGCTGGAAAGGAGCCAAGGAAGAAACTTCTGGAAGCAAAATGTTGTCACGAAGTTTGGACTAAGCTGGCGCCCCCGGAGACTCTGAGGCGGTGGGCAGCAGGGATAGACCCCTCCCCAGCTCAGCTCCACCCCCAGACCAGGAGAGGGGACCCGCCTCAGAGGCCAACCCCGGGGTGATGGTGTTGGGGTCACTGCGGGGGCGTGACCTCCACTGCTCCCAGAACTGGCCCCTCCCCCACCCTCCCTTCCTGGGCCGCACCCCAGGGCCCTCACTGCCCCGCCAAAGGTGGGGCTCCCCCCCTCTGTTCCAGGCGCGGGGTCCCCAACCACCCCAAGTAGCCTCAGGTGGGGGGATCCTCGTGGCCTGCTGCTGTAGCCATGTCTGATGGGCATTTGGGGGGGACCCCGGTGTCCCCGCTAGCCCCCGCAGGAAAGGAGATGCTGGGCTCAGTTTCCGGGGCTCCTAGAAAGGCTGAGAAGGGGCCAGGGGACGCACAAGGCTTCCAGCCTCTGGGCAGCGCTGCCCTCCTACCGACCCGCGTGGGCACAGAGGGGGTCCCACCTCTGCCCGGGGCAGAAAGGCCTGGGGCCAGAAACAGGACCCTCACCAGTGGGGATGGAGCCCAGCAGCGCCCCCTGGGGGACAGGTTTGTCACTGCTCCGAGCCCCCTAGGGGCTGGTGGGGGGGGCTCCCTCCCCAGTCCCAGGGGTCCCCTCTGTTCCCGAACAGGAAGCCCTGAGGGTCTGGGTGCCAACGGCAGCCGCTCACAGCATCCGTCAGCACACAGGGGCCAGCCCTGGGCCCCGCAGCAACACAGCAGCGCCCACAAAGCTGTGTCCGCAGGGGTGCCGATGGACTGGACTGGACTGGACTGGACAGTGTGGGGGGCTGGGCACCGGATGGGGTGCAGAATCTCTCCCGACGCTAGCTTGATTGCACCCCAGAGGAGAGCGGGTGCTGTGCCGGCAGCGGGCAGCCAGCAGGGTGCGGGGAAAGACAGCCCAGCTGGTCCCAGCTCCGCAGAAACAGCCCCCCAAGTAGCACCTCTGAACCCCAGTGGGGGGCGGGCCAGGGGCTCCGCGGCGGGGGGGTCCCCAATATTCACGGGGCCACATTTCTCCTCCTGTCACCTCCAGCCTCACCTTGAGATATAAATGTCATTGCCCGCCGTGGGGGGTCGATGTCACAATAAACGAGAAAACCCCGCTCGGTCCTTGGTCTTGTGACTCTGGGGGGGGGGGGTGGGGGGCAAGTGTGGGCGCGGCAGATTCCTGGGGCAGCTGGAAGCGAAGAAGCCGGTTCCTGAGCCTGAGAGATGATACAGCAGGTACGACGTTTGCACGCGGCATCCTGTATGGTCCCCCGCGCCTGCAAGGAGTGATTCCTGGGTGCAGAGCCGGGAGCAACCCCTGAGCATTGCTGGGTGTGCCCCACCCCGTAAAAAAAAAAAAGGAAGAAAAGAGAGAAAAGGACAGAGACAGAGAGAGACAGAAGCCTGGGTATTGGGCGAAGCTTTCCAAAGGATCTGATGATTTGGGGGCAGAGCGATAGTCCAGTGGGGAGGGCATCAGCCTTGCACGCGGCTGACCTGGGTTCGATACCTGGCTTCACATAGGGTCCCCCACCCCCAAGCGCCACCAGGAGCGATTCCTGAGTGCAAAGCCAGGAGTAACCCCTGAGCACTGCTGGCTGTGAACCAAAAAGAAGGGGGAAAAAAAAGTTTCCCTGCTATCCCTGCGGGTCAGAGCTAAAGCTGGCAGGCATTTATCAGACAGAGGGCACCGCCTCGGGGGCCAGCCAACGCCCAGAACACACCTGGGAGCCAAGACAGAAGGACAGGAGCTGGGCCGTTTTGTGCTCCTTGATCAAGCCGGGCCTGAAGCCCACACGGACATCTTGGTTGTGTGTTAGGTGAGAGTTGGGGCTGCCCCAGCTCACCACAGGGCCCAGGGAGCCTAAACACCAGAGCTTGTGTGGCGGGGGGAAGGCTGAGATGGTGACGCTGGCCCACTCGGCCCCGAGCCGGAGTTCTCTTCCTGGATCACAGCCAGCCTTCTGCGTCCTCACTGAGCGGGCAGCAGAGCCTTACGGTATCTCTGCCTCTTCTCCTGAGCGCCCCGCCCTCCTGGCTCTATCGCTTCCCCACAGGCCCCATCTTCTATCAGGGTCATCTTGGCTCCCCGGGCTCCAGCCTGTGAATTGGACTCGGTACAGAGCACTCAAGTACCGAGTCCATGGCGTGGCGTGAGCCCGTCTGAGCTGGATGCACTGTTCCACCCGGCCCCGGCAGAGCCACAGAGGGGGAGAGGAAGTTTCCAGCAGAGGCAACGTAAGCTGCTCAGAATAAGACACAAGGTCTAGGGCCCACGCGGAGGGCCGGACGGCTCGCGGGACGGTGTGAGGCAGGTGGCGATGCCTTCCTGGATACAGCTGCCTGTCCCGAGGCAGACGAGAAGCCCGGACCCTCAGAGAAAGACGCCTAAGGGCTGCAGAAGGTCCCCGGCGGAAAGAGACCCTGTTCAGGCACTTGGGTCTTATCAAGAAGTCACTGCGGTGCCACCCAGAGACCTGCTCCTCTCTTAAGATCCAAGGCCGGACACTGGAGCATAGGACAGCCGTGGGACAGGGGAGGACGCTTGCCTTGAACCCCCTGCGGTCCCCTGAGCTATGCCAGGAGTGATCCCTGAGCACAGATCCAAGAGTAAGCCCTGAGCACTGTCAGGAGTATCCTCCAAACCAAAACCAAAAGAACTAAATCCAGCTTCGGGGTGTGTGTGTGTGTGTGTGTGTGTGTGTGTGTGTGTGATGCGCACCTTGCCCTCTGCATAATCTCTCTGGCCCCCGGAAAGAGACATTTTTTTTGTGGCAATGCTGTGGCTGGTGAGAAAACACTATAGGGGGGTCCTGGGGACGTGGCTCCGGGGCACAGGGTCCACTGGGCAGGCCTGAGGCTTGAGCTCCACCCTGGGGCCCCCCTGCACACCACAGCCTGTGTGACCTCATGGCAGGCATGCGTGTCCTCCCAGGTCACCACAGCAATCCAGGGACCAGGAGGTCCATCTTCATAGGCCCGGTCCGCTGCAGCCCTGCATGCTGGAATCTAGAAGTTTTAGACTTTGCAAAACGCCCTGGGCATGGAACAAGCTGTCCATACTGATGTTCTTGGCTCAAACTCAGCGTTAACGCTTTTGGGTGTTGGTGTTGGCTGTGTTCAGGGTTTACTCCTGGTTCTGGGCTCAGGGGTTGTTCCTGGTGGGGTTTAGGGGACCATATGGGGTGCAAGGCTTGGTCAGAGGGTTTTATTAGACACTCAAGAACCTGAAAAACTAGCCGCTTCGAGAGTAATTTTTTTGGTTGTTGGTTTGGGGGCCATGGCCGGCGGTGCTCGGGGAGCACTCCTGGTGCGTCTCGGGGTTGGGGTACCATGGGGGGGGGGTGCCGGGATCAAAGAGCAACGTGCAAGCCAAGCACCTTACACGCAGCAGCATCGCTTTGACCCCCCCCAAAGAGAATGATTTTTGAATTCCGAAAGCAACTTTCAATGCCTTGCCTTGTAAGAAAAAGCCTTTGCCTTGCACGCGGCAGACCTGGGTTCGATTCCCAGCATCCCCTAGGGTCCCGCAAGCCCCGCCAGGAGTAATTCCTGAGTGCAGAGCCCAGAGTAATCCCTGAGCATCAATGGGTGTGACCCCAAAAAATGCAAAAAAAAAAAAAGCCTTTGGGTTTTCATTGCATCGGTTTATCTGGCCCAGTTCAACGGAAGGAGGCGGAGGAGGACCAGCTCTCTCGGCTGCACCTGACTCTGAAAAATCATCAGCGTGGGCCCAGCTGTGCCCCCCACCCGACGCTCCAGGCCTCGACTTCCCCCCCGGGGACGAACCGGAGCCCCCCACCCCCACCCCGATGGCGAAGGCATCGCGGGAACCGGCGCAAAGCGCACGGCGGTGCGTGAGCAAACGCAGCCCGAGCAGCGCGCGCGCGCGCACAGGCCGACCGCGGCGCCTCCCGCGCGCCCCCGCCCCGCGCACGCGCCCCGCGGGCCACCGGCCCGGCCCCGCCCCCCCGCTCTGCGCACGCGCCCCGCGGCCCGCCGGCCCGGCCCCGCCCCCAGCTCCGCCCCCAGCCCCGCCGGGCCCGGGCGTGCGTGCGCGTGCACGCGGGCGCCGTGCGCGCTCCCGGGGCCCGCGGGCGCGCGCGCGCGGGGAGGCGGGCCCCTTGCGGACGCTCCCGGGCCGGCTCTGCGCGCGGCGGCCCAGGCGCCATGGAGGGGGACGCGGCAGGTGGCGGCGGCGGCGGCCCCCCGGGGCCCCCCGAGCCCGAACCCGACGCCGAGGCGGCCGCGCGGGCCCAGGCCGAGTTCGCGGCGCTGTACGGGCCGGCGCTGCGGGCGTCCGGCGTCCCCGAGCGCTACTGGGCGCGCCTCCTGCACAAGCTGCAGCACGAGGTGCGCGGGGTGGGGGGTGGGCGGTGGGCGGTGGGGGGCAGGGCCGGGGGGCGTGGGGTGGGGATGGGGCGCTGGGTGGGGGGGCGCGCTGGATGGGGGATGGGACGCGGGGCGGGGGGATAGGCGCTCTGGGCGGGGGAGGGGCGCAGGGCTGGGAGGGGGAGGGCGGGGAGGCGGGATGGGGGTCTGGGGGACCCCCGGCCAGGCCCTGGCTCCTGCCCCCACGTTGCTGTCCAGGGCCCGCAGCGTGCGTGGTCCACGCACCCCCCACCCCGGGGCGCCCGGCGCTGGCGTCAGAGCGCTGGAGAGGCTGGGCGGGGTGGGGGACCGGGGTGCGCCCGCTCCTGCTTTGGGTGGGGGGCGACCCCCGGGGAGGGGGCGGGGCCTTACTCCTCCTCTGCTCAGGGATCCCCCCTGGTGGTGCCGGGGGACGGGTCTTGGGCTGTCCGGCTTCTACTTGGGTCCCTGCCCTGAGCCCCTGCCTCGCCCTCCCCGCCCCACCCACCCCCGCTGCAGATGTGGGAGGGGGCTCCTAGGAGCTGGAGAGCTGAGGGTGACGACTTGGGGCGCCGGCGAGGTGGCACCCGCCCTTCCCGGCTGGTCCGGTCCTGCCCGGAGCCCCAGGCGGGTCCCGCCTCCCTGGGACTCGCCCTTGGTCCCGCCCGCTTGTCCCTGGCTTGCTCTGGCCAGGCTGTGGGGGGACCCCAGCTGTGGTGGGCCAGGATAGAGGCGCCTGGCCAGGGTGGTCACTCTGCGGGCGCGGGTGGCCGTGGCCCCCTGCTGTGTGCACCAGCACCCCAGGAGCCAGCCCCACGCCCGTCACCCCAAGGAGAGGAAGGAGCCTTGGAGCCCCCTGGGAGTGGGTGAAGGCTCTCACAGCACCCCTCTCCCCTCAGCTTTGGGGTGCAGGGCCGAGTCCCACCTCGGGGCCTCTCCACATGTCTCTCATGCCTGGCCAGGGGCCATGTGGTCCTTCCCCCCCACACCCCGACACTGTGTGGGTCTGGGGGCTCCATCCCGGGCTATTTCAGCTGCCTGCATGCTGGGGCTGGTCGCTCCCCTGGGGGACACCCCCATACCCGGGAGAGGTGCTCGGGGCTGCCAGGACCCATCACTCCCTGTGATGCTTCCGGGGGGGGGGGGGGGCTGGCAGCCGGTCTTGAAATCCTCAGGGTCACAGCTGGACCCTCGGCCCCTGTGGCCAAGGCAGGGGCCCCCGGAATGCACTCACGAGTCCAGCAGACCTGTGGAGCTCGGGGGGGAGGGGTGCCGGGAGTGTGGGGTCCTGCTGCAGCACCCACGTGTTGTGGCCCCCAGGTCCTGGACGCCGGGGAGATGTTTGGGATCATGCAGGTGCAGGAAGCGGAGGAGGAGGAGGCCGGGGACGCCGGGGGCACCGCGCGGCAACGGCCCAGCCCGGGCTCCGAGGTCTGCTACAAGGTCATCGTCACCCACGAGGACGGGCTCCGCGCCGATGACCCCAACAGGTGGGGCCCCGCGCCGGGCGGGCCCTGGGGGTGCCGGAGAGGGGTGGCAGGGGGGCGGCCCCCAGAGCCCCTCACCCCGGCCGTGCCCGCAGCATCTTCCTCATTGACCACGCCTGGACCTGCCGCCTGGACCACGCCCGGCGGCAGCTCCAACAGATGCCGGGGCTGCTGCAGCGTATGGCCAGCCTGATGGGCATCGCCTTCCACGGCGAGCTGCCCCGCGCCCACGTTGTGGACCAGGTGCTCGAGGAGATGTGGAAATACAACCAGACCTACCAGCTGGCCCACGGGGTGAGCGGCCTGGCAGGGTGGCCGGGGCAGGGCCCTCTCCTCTGCCTTCCTCCCCCAACGCACGTTCCAGGCCGCACCCCGGTCTTACTCAGGGGAAGATGGATTTCTTAGAACCTCAGCTGGGATGTCGTTGCCACCGGGAAGTCCTCCCTGATTGCAGCAGTCCACCTCTCCCCCCCCACACACACACACGCATGCACACGTGCTGCCCCCGAGCCCCCCCAGATTGGAGGGTGTGGCGTGTGGGCAGAGGCTGACCTGCGGGGCCTTCTCTGCCCCCCACCCACCCCCCCAGACGGCCGAGGAGAAGGTGCCGGTGTGGTACATCATGGACGAGTTCGGGTCTCGCATCCAGCACTCGGACACCCCCAGCTTCGGCCTGGCCCCGTTCTTCTACACCCCCCAGGAGGCGGCCTACAGCCTGCTCTGGCCCCTGCGGGACCTGGCCACCGGCGGTGAGTTGCCCCCGCCCTGCCCCGAATCTCTCTCTCACACACACACACCCGCTGTGAACACGTGTGTCCCTGACGCGGCCACGCGTGTCCCATGCAGAGGAGGTGACGCGGGACTTCGCCTACGGCGAGACCGACCCCCTGATCCGGAAGTGCATGCTCCTGCCGTGGTTCCCTGCTGACCTGCAGGACATCAGCTGCCACACGCCGGAGCCGCCCGACCAGCACTACCAGGTGTGGGGGGGGGCAAGGCACCCGTTGGTGGGAGGGGGCAGGCGGCCTCAGGAACGGCAGCACACACCGAACGGCCGCCAGGGACCAGCCGCAGTCGCAGCCTTGGGCAGCGCGGGGTGCTGGCCCCCAGGCCGTGTGGGCACAGGGAGGCGGGGCGGGGGGGGCCTCACTTCCCTCCCAAGCCCCTCGGGGGACGGGGTGAGTTCTCCCTCCTAAGGCGGCAGCAGGCAGGCACACTGGAGGTGCCCGGGCACCCAACTCACTCGGGGTCGCCCAGACTCGGGGGCTGAGGCCGCGGGGTCAGCCCGTCAGCATCGCGCCCAGGCCGGCCGTGTGCCCCCTCTGGGCGCCCCCACCCGGCCGCCTAGGGGGATGGAGCCTGCACAGCCTGGGGTCTGCAGTCACCCCCGGGCCTGTTCCCGGCACCAAGGCTGGAGTGATCCCCACGCTGGTGGGTGTGTCCCAGAGTTAAGACAGTAGGAAGGGGCTGGAGTGGTAGCGGGGAGGGCGTTTGCCTTGCACACAACCGACCTGGGTTCGATTCCCAGCGTCCCATATGGTCCCCTGAGCACCGCCAGGAGTAACTCCTGAGTGCAGAGCCGGGAGTAACCCCTGAGCATCGCGGGGTGTGACGCAAAAAGCTAAAAAAAAAAAAAAACAAAAGAAGCGGCCAGGTGGGGAACAGACCTGCTGTCCCTGGCCACGGGACGCTGGTGGCTCGGGACACGGGGCTGCGGGACGGGCGCTGGCGGGCAGTGCCAGGCTCTCACCGGGCTGTGGTTCGCAGGCAATCCTGCAGGAGAGCAAGGAGACGCTGCCGGTGCTCATCGAGACACCCACGTATTCCCGCGAGCACATCTTCAAGTAGGGGCCCGGTGCTGGTGGGGACGGCGGGGAGCTCATCGGCGTCTCGGGGGGCCGTGGGTGGGGGCGGCCGCCCAGTGCCCTGACGCCGCCGCCCCCAGGGTGCACACGGACGTGCTGCAGGTGTATCAGAACCTCACGCACCCGCGCTTCGTCTTCACCTCGCGGGAGGCCGAGGCCGACATCCTGCACCACTTCTCCCACTTCAAGGACTACAGGTGAGGTGCCACGCCGCTGCCGGCCCCTCGCGGCTGGCGCCCACCGCTGACCCCGCCGCTGCCCCTCGGCAGGAGTTTCAGCCGGGAGCGGCCGCACGTGATGCTGAACCAGTTTCCCTGCGAGAGTCTGCTCACGGTCAAGGACTGCCTGGCGGCCGTGGCCCGGCGCGTGGCGGGCCCCGAGGGTCCGGCCTGGCTCCCCCGAACCTTCAACCTGCGCACGGAGCTGCCCCAGTTCGTCAGCTACTTCCAGCAGCGGGAGAAGCGGTGAGCGCCCACGCAGGCTCAGGCGTGCACGCACACGGACACACTCACGCACACACGTGATGCCTACGTGCCCGCACACAGACACATGTACACACACACACACGGGCACTCACGTGCCACACAGACCCGCGCGCGTGGCGAGGGACCCCCCGCCCAGCTGTGCTGTGCCCCCAGGGGAGAAGACAACCACTGGATCTGCAAGCCCTGGAACCTGGCGCGCAGCCTGGACACGCACATCACCAGGAACCTTCACAGCGTCATCCGGCACCGCGAGAGCACCCCCAAGGTGCGCCCGCCCCCGCCCCCCGTGGCCCGGGCTTCTTTCTGGTGGGGGGTGGGGAGTGGGGTGGGCCCGACGGTGACTGACGGCGGCGCGTCCCCGGCCCCGCAGGTGGTGTGCAAGTACATCGAGGACCCGGTGCTGTTCCTGCGCGAGGACGTGGGCCGCGTCAAGTTCGACCTCCGCTACGTGGTGCTGCTACGCTCCGTCGACCCGCTGAGGCTCTTCGTCTACGACGTCTTCTGGCTGCGCTTCTCCAACCGGTGCGTGTGCTGCAGGGCCCCCGTGCGCGCCCCGGGCCTCCCCGCTGTGCCGCCCGCTCACCCCTGTGTGTCCCTCTGTGCGTCTTGTTTGTCCGTCCGTCCACGCCAGGCCCTTCTCGCTCGACGAGCTGGACGACTACGAGAAGCACTTCACCGTCATGAACTACAAGCCGGACGCGCCCCTGAAGCAGGTGGGAGGGGCGGGGCCGGCGAATCTGGGGGCGCCGGGACCCCCCCCCCCCGCCCCCGCCCACCCCGGGCAGGCGTGAGGGGCGGCGGCGGCAGTGCTGGCCACAGTCCTGTCACTGAGTCGCCCGCAGGGAGCCCCCGGCCTGACCGGCCTGTCTGCACAGGTCCACTGCCAACAGTTCGTGCCCGAGTTCGAGAAGCAGTACCCCGACTTCCGCTGGAAAAAGGTTCAGGTGAGCCCCCCGGGGCCACGGCAGGCAGGCAGGCGGGTGGGACAGGGCGGGGCGCGGCCAGCTCGGCCCCGCCACCCGCCCCCTCATGCCCCGCCCGGCCCCGCAGGAGTCCATCTTCCAGACCTTCATCGAGCTCCTGCAGGCCGCCAGCTCCCGGCCGCCGCCCCTGGGCCTGTGCGGGTATCCCTCTTCCCGTGCCGTGTACGCCATCGACCTCATGCTGAAGTGGGACCGCCGCCCCGATGGTGAGATAGCACCCCCCAACAGGCGAGGGAGGGTGCCCAGGCCTGGCCCAGCCCCGCCGACCGGACCTGCCCACCGCCCGCCGTGCCCCCAGGGACGCGGACGATGCAGCCGCAGATCCTGGAGGTGAACTTCAACCCCGACTGCGAGCGCGCCTGCCAGTTCCACCCCACCTTCTTCAACGACGTCTTCAGCACCCTCTACCTGGACGACTTCGAGTGCTGCAACGTCACCCGGCTCACCTAGGGCCCGCCCGGGCCCCCCGCCCGCAGAGCCGCTCCGACTGTCTCGGTCTGTCCCGCACACGTGTCCGTGGGTCCGCCTGTCTCTCCTCCCTCGTTTCTAGGACGTGGCTGGTGGGCTCTTGTCGGAAGCCAGAGGGGTTCTTGGAGCGAAACTGGACATCCGCGCGTCCCCCCCAGCGGTCAGGCTGTCCTGGTCCGACCAGGTCTGGGGATCGGGGCACCCCCTCAGGGGTCTTTCCCCTGCGGGGGGTACAGGCTGTGTCGTCCTCTGTTTGGGATCCATTGTTCCACATTAAAAGTGTTCGCTTTCGTTTCCTCTGCCTCAGTTTCCCTTTGGGGGTAGCCCTGGGGCGTGCGGGGGCAGGGCACTGGCACCTGGGCCCCCGCCACCGCTGTGGGCACGTACCAGGGGCATCTCAGGGCACTAGAGCTGGGACCTTCCTGCTGCAGCCACCAGGGGGCGGCCCGGTGGACCAGAGAAGGCGCGAAAAGAACCAGGTTTGGAGGGTCAGAGGGGAGACGGCGGGCTCCATCCCTGGCACCCCACGGGGGCCCCAGAGCACCACCTGGTGTGGCAAAAAAAAAATACAAAAAAAACGCACGCGAGAGGGAAACGGGGGGGCACGGGTGCTGGAACGCTTGCACGGGTGCCAGAATGCTGCATGAAGCCTGACCGTGAACACCTCCCCGTGATTCAGTAAATAAGAAACACGACTCGTGCGCCAGGCCAGCTCGAGGGAGTCGGGGTTCCCGCCGAACCTGGGGACAGGCTCAGGCCCAAAGTTCCCGAACCCCAACTGGGCTCCCAGTGCAGAGTCAGGGCCCAGCCTGCATCACAGCCAATGGCAGGGGCTGGTCCCCAGGGCTCAGCTCTGTGGGACCCAGGGGTGGGGCTGGAGGGGAGGCTGGGCTGCTGGCCCGCGCCATGGCACCCCTGGTGACTGGAGGTTAACAGCCAAGCAGAAGTGGGACCGCCGTCAGGGCCGTGGCCCCCCTGTGTTGGTCATCTCTTGCAGAGCCTTACGAGGGCCTGGAGAAGGGCGGCTGGGTCCTGGGCTGGCATGGCCGGAGGGTGCACCCCAGGTGAACAGGCCAGCTCTCTCTGGACGTGAGAAGTTGGAAGTAGCGTAATGGGGTTTGGGGTTTGGGTTTTTTGGTTGCATTTTTTTTTTTGGAGTACCACGCTTTATGCAAGTGAGAGAAGGAATCCGGAATTCTGACCTCTGTCGTTGATCAAGGATCAGCGACGCTGCCTTATTTGCCAAAGCAAGTCAAAAATCAGACGGGCCGGACACATAATGCGATTTGGAGATGACCGCTGGACTAGAGCCGTTACTGACTGGATTCTGTGGGACGTCAAAAGATCTCGGTCCAGCCGTCACCTACGAGATGGTCAGACTTCTTCGTCACGACCCTGAACGAACGGTTTGAGGCTCTTTGTGTTCCTGGAGCGAGCAGACGCCATTGGGCTACTCTAGCACGCGACAGGGACGAATGGAGACGTGACGTGCCCGCTCGAGCAAATCGATGAGCAATGGGATGACAAACAGTACAAGTGATTTTTTTTTTGATTTGGGGGCCACCCCTGGCGGTGCTCAGGACCTTCTCCCGGCTCTGCACTCAGGGGTCACTCCTGGCGGGCTCAGGGCACCATATGGGATGTCGCGGATCAAACTCAGTCCAGCCGTGTGCAAGGCAAACGCTTGCCTGCTGTCCCATCACTCGGCTTAGCTCTGCCCGCCGAGAGCACTGTAGGGCAGGGTGGGGTGGGTGCGGCCTGGGCCACGCTCCTGCCCCCCACCCCCCACCCCGACCCGGGGCCGGGCAGGCGGGAAAGCGCGTGTGGAAATGAGGCCTCCGCTGGTGGAAAACGTCAGGAACTTTATTATCAAACAGAAGTTTCCGGTTTCCCACCCTCCCCCCACTCAGCAAGGGGCGCAGAGGGCGCCCGGGCCGGGGGCCGCGGCTGCCCCCCACATGCCCGGCCGGGGCGGGGCCCTCACTCGGGCAGCCGGCGGCCCCCGCGCCAGCCCCGGTTGTCCCGCCATACGCAGTAGTTGAGGGCGGCGGCGAAGATCAGCCAGGCCAGGTAGGGGTAGAGCAGGCGGGCGGCCGGCGGGCTCACCCGGTGCCAGGCCACGGTCGTGGCGGCCGCCGCCCCGCCGGTCAGCAGGAGATCCGCCAGGGCCTGCGGGGAAGCGGGAGAGGAAGGGGATGCCTGAGCACCCGGCCGAGGCCCCACCCCCGTCTGCCTCAGTTTCCCCATCTGACAAACGGGAACCATCTCCCGGGTCTGAGCTCAGCATAGGGTCAGCCCCACCCCAGTCTCTGCCTCAGTTTCCCCATCTGCCAAACGGGAACCATCGCCCGGGCCTGAGCTCAGCAGCATGGGGTCAGCCTCACGCCAGTCTCTGCCTCAGTTTCCCCATCTGCAAAATGGGAACCATCACCCGCCCGGGCCTGAGTTCAGCACGGGGTCTATGTGGGGGTCCCTGTAGCAGCCTCCCCTCACCCCAACTCTTCCCTAGAGAACCAGCAGGGGGAGTCCTGGTCCCAAGAACTAGCCGGGAGGGGCCGGGGACCCAGTGCAGCCAGGAGGGCTCTTGCCCTGCCCGGGGTCCACCTGGGTTCGATCCCTGGCACACCATATGAGCCCGCCCCCTGAGCCCACCAGCCCACCAGGAGCAACCCCTGAGCACAGAGTCAGGAGCAAGCCCTGAGCATGGTTGGGTGTAGCCCCCCAAAGCAAAACTAGCCATAAGCCAAGCACCTCCCGGGACCCCCGCCCCACACCCGTCCCCCCATGCCACTCTCCAGGACACCTCGGGGGACACGCAGGCCACTCACCCAGCCCATCTGCCGCTGGCCGAAGAAGAGCGGGGGCCACGCCCAGTTGAGGGCCAGCTGTCCCGCGTAGAGGCCCAGGGGCACCACGGCGTCCTCCGAGAAGCCCCCCACCTCTTTCCAGACCATGTAGGAGCCGTACCTGGGGCAGAGGGGAGCAGTCAGCACCCTGCTGGGTGGCCCTGGGGCGGCTGCCCGCCCTCTCTGGGCTGTCTTCTCCCAAGGGGTTGCTGCGGAGGCTGGCAGTGCTGAGGGCATGCCTGGCACAGGGACTGTGATGGTGTCTGCCAGCACTGCCAACATCGTGGGAACCGTGAACAGGAGGGGGTGGGACATGTGAGCGGGAATCCAAGGTCAGCAGAGAGCCCGGGTGGGGTGTGCGTGTGGGGGAGGGGTGGGGGGCTGAACACCCCAGAGCCCTGAGCCCACCCCGGGCCGTGCCCACCCTCCCTTCATCCCCACAGTGCCATGGGCCGGCTCCCAGTCAGGTCGCCTACAAGCCAAGGCCAGCGCAAGGAAACGGCCCTTAGGCTCCCGGCCAGCGGTCAGCCAGGAACACCAGGCCAGGGCCCACGGCGGCCGTTTCTTCTGGGAGAGGCTGGGCCTTGTGGCGTGAGGAAGCTTTCTCAGAGTCACAGACCACAGGGGGACCGGGGGTCTCATTCCCGTAAAAACCCCAGGTGGAGGGCTGGAGCGATAGCACAGTAGGGAGGGGGTTGGTCTTGTACCCGGCTGACCTGGGTTTGATCCCCGGCATCCCATAGGGTCCCCCGAGCACCGCCAGGAGTAATTCCTGAGTGCATGAACCAGGAGTAACTCCTGTGCATCACTGGGTGTGATCCAAAAAGCCAAATTTAAAAAAAAAAAAACCTCCGGGGCTGGAGCGATAGTACAACAGGTAGGGCGTTTGCCTGGCACAAGGCCAACCGGGGTTCGATTCCCAGCATCCTATAGGGTCCCCTGAGCACCGCCAGGAGTGACTCCTGGGTACACAAGCCGGGAGTAACCCCTGAGCATCGCCAGGTGTGACCCAAAAGACAAAATAAATCAATAAATAAGCACTGTAGCACTGTCCTCCCGCTGTTCATGGATTTGCTCGAGCAGACACCAGTAACGTCTCCATTGTGAGACTTGTTGTTACTGTGTTTGGCATCTTGATTATGCCACGGGGAGCTTGCCAGGCTTTGCCGTGAGGGCGAGATACTCTCGGTAGTTTGCCGGGCTCTCCGAGAAGGGGCAGAGGAATCGAACCCAGGTCGGCCACGTGCAAGGCAAACACCCTACCCCAAATAAATAAATAAATAAATAAATAAATATTTTTTAAAAATCTCGGGTGCCGGGGCTGGAGCGATAGCACAGTGGGTCGGGCGTTTGCCTTGCACGCGGCCGACCCGGGTTCGATCCCCAGCATCCCATATGGTCCCCTGAGCACCACCAGGAGTAATTCCTGAGTGCAGAGCCAGGAGTGACCCCTGAGCATTGCTGGGTGTGACTCAAAAAGGCAAAAAAAAAAAATCTCGGGTGCAGATCTGGCCCTGGACCCCGGCCACCACCCTCCCCTCCCTCCCCCAAGGCCCCTTGGCAACGCCCCCAGCCCCTGCAGCGAAGGCAGAGGCCCTGGTGGCTCCTCCGGGTGCAGTTCCCACCGCGGCCACCAGAGCGCGCCCTCCCGCCCGCCCGGCGCCTCCTTTCCTCTGTCCTGGGCAGCGCTGGGCCCCGTGTCCAGCCCAGAGTTTGTGAAAACCGAGCGAGAGCGTGGGACAGCGGGGGCGCCTGCATGTATGCTGCCGCTGTTGCTGCTGCCCACCCACGCCTGGCGGGTGCCCGCCCCCCACCCCCGGCCCAGTTAGGGACGCTGCCAGGGGGCCGGCGTGGACTGGACCGGTCACTACCCGCGCCAGGAAGCGCAGAGGGCAAAGCTCGGTTGTGCAACCGGGGGGTGGGGGGCAGGGGGGTCCCCAAGCTGCCACCTACCCCATGGCCGAGTAGAGCGTCCCCCAGACGGGCCCCAGCGTCCAGCGGGGCGGGTGCCACGACGGCTTCTGCAGGCCGGCGTACCAGCGGAGACCCTCGCCCCGGACGTAGTGGGCGCCCAGGAAGCCCCCCAGGCTGGGCGCCAGAGTGAAGCCCACTGCGGGCACCCAGGGCGGGGCCATGGCGGCTGCAGCTGTGGTTCTGGAAAGTTCTGAAAGAGAAGATGAGCGGGAGGTGTATGTGTGTGTGGGGAGGGGGTCTCTCCTGGGCTGGGGTCAGCCTCCCTCTCAGACCCCGGGGCCGATGCATCATATCAGGGTCCCCCTAAAGCCCTCTCCCTTTCATCCTGGATGAGACAAGAGAGGTGGGGGGAGGGTGGCCCCAGTCAGCCCCCAGGCGCCAGCCGAGGTCTCGCACTCAGCTCCTGCCCCCAGCGGGTAGCCCTGCTCTCAGCCGCACCCTGACCTTGGGCCTCTGCAGGCAGACACGGCACCAGGCCAGTGCTAGCCCGTGCCAAGCCATGTGTCCCCCGCCCACTATCTATTCTTCCTCCGGCATTCATTCATTTACAGTGCATCCACTCATTCATCTCTTTTTTTTTCTTTTTGGGTCACACCCGGCGATGCACAGGGGTTACTCCTGGCTCTGCACTCAGGAACTACCCCTGGTGGTGCTCAGGGCACCCTATGGGATGCTGGGAATCGAACCCGGGTTGGGCCGCGTGCAAGGCACACGCCCTACCCGCTGTGCTGTTGCTCCAGCCCCTCGCTGACTCATCCTGCCTTCATTTCTTTGTCTGGCATTCACTTGTCTTGTAGTCATTCGTCTATTTGTCTTGAATTCATTCATTCATCTTGCATTAATTCACGCATTCACCCCGAATTCGTCATTTGACGCTTGGCCTCATACTGATCTGCAAATCCCTGCTCCCAACTGACTTGAGCTCATCGCTCTGGCTCTTGGGGCTCGGCCCAGTGGAGGAGCCCATCCCGGCACGACCTTCCATTCCTGGCCGGACTCAGGGCACACAGGGCCCCACTCAGGCCCAGAGCTGTCACCCTCTGGCTGTCCACGGGGCCTACCTGGTTGATATTTATACCTGGATATTTGCGTCCTATTTTATTATTATTTTTTTGGCTTTTTTTTTTGGGAGGGATCACACCTAGCAATGCTCAGGGGTTACTCTTGGCTCATGCACTCAGGAATTGCCCCTGGCGGTGCTCGGGGGACCCTACGGGATGCTGGGAATCGAACCCGGGTTGGCCGCGTGCAAGGCAAATGCCCTAACCGCTGTGCTATCGCTCCAGCCCCTTGCGTCCTATTTTAAAAAGTGATTGACAGGGAAATGTCAAATGTCGGGGCGGGGGGGGGAGCAGCCAGGCTGTTTGAACTGAAGCCTGGACACCCCCTGACCGGGTCTGGGTTCTCCCTTCATAAAACGGGGGGCCGTGCTCCTGCAACCACGCCAGGATCTGCTGAACCTGGAGGTGTCCGTTGGCAAGGGACAAGGACCCACACCGGGTGGCCAGGGGACAGACTCCAGACCCACACGCCAGTCTGGGCCCAGCATCAGGATAGGGGCCTGGGATTGAGCAGGGGACAGCGCCCAGGCAGGACGCAGTGAGTGACTGAATCTAAAGTCACGTGTGGGGGCCAGAGAATAGCACAGCAGGGAGGGCGTTTGCCTTGCACGCGACTGAGTGACCGCAATCCCCAGCATCCCACAGGGTCCCCCGAGCACCTCCAGGAGTCATTCCTGAGTGCAGAGCCAGGAGGAACCCCTGAGCATCACCAGGTATGACCCAAAACGCCAAAAAGAAAAAAAAAAGGGCCAGAGAGATAGCACAATGAGTAGGGCATTTGCTTTGCGCGCGGCCAGCCTGGCCGAGCTGCGTTCAATTCCTCCACCCCTCTCGGAGAGCCCAGCAAGCTACCGAGAGTATCTCGCCCGCGCGGCAAAGCCTGGCAAGCTCCCCGTGACGGATTTGAGATGCCAAACACAGTGACAACAAGTCTCACAATGGAGACGTTACTGGGCCCGCTCGAGCAAATCGATGAACAACGGGAGGACAGTGTTGCAGTGATACAGCAATATGGTCCTCCGAGCCGGCCCTGAGCAATGTCTGAGTGCAGAGCCCCGAACACATACACACAGCAAAGGTGAAGCCCAAAATTTAAAAAAATAAAAGTTTTAATAAAAATTAAATTAGATAGAGAAGGGAGCACCAAGTAAAGGGTGTTGGGAGGATCCTCCCAGGATGGGAGAAGCATGCTGAAAGTAGACTATAGACCGATCATGATTGCCACTCAATGCCTCTTTTGCAAACCACAGCACCCAAAAGGAGAGAGAGAAAACAAAAGGGAATGCCCTGCCACAGAGGCAGGGTGGGATGGGGGGATGGGGGTGGGAGGGATACTGGGACCCGTGGTGGTGGAAAATGGGCACTGGTGGAGGGATGGGTGTTTGATCATTGTAGAATTGAAACCCAAGCACAAAAATTTGTAAGTCTACAACTGTACCTCATGGTGTCTCACTAATAAAAATTTAAGAAAAACTTAAATTAAAAAATAAAAACCGGGGGGCCAGACGATAGCACAGCGGTAGGGTGTTTGCCTTGCACGCAGCCGACCCGGGTTCGATCCCTGGTATCCCATATGGTCCCCCAAGCACTGCCAGAAGTAATTCCTGAGCATTGCTGGGTGTGACCCCAAAAGCAAAAAAAAAAAATTTTTTTAATAAAATAAATAAATAAAAACCGAGGACCGGAGAGACAGGACAGCGGGGAGGGCACTTGCCTCGCACGTGGCCAACCCAGGTTCAAGTCTCAGCGTCCCTGAGGACTCCCTGGTGTGGCCCCCAAACAAAACAAGAGTCCCTGGAAATACAGGTGCAACCTGCGTGCCCCCACCCCAGGGCCCCCAGGTCCTCGGAGGGGCTGGAGCCGCGGGCCTCGAGGTCCACCACCCCCGCTGCCACCCAGGGCGCGCGAGCCGAGCCGCGGGGGGTCCCGGGGCCCTGCCCGGCTGCTGGAAGCAGCCCCCGCAGGTGGCGCGCGACCCCCGGGAGCAGCAGCAGCCGCGGCGCAGAAGCAGAGCGACCCCTGGCGGGCGCGTGTGGCACTGCAGCGCCCCGCCAGCTCCCCGACCAGGTGCGCGAAGCCCCCCGGAGCGCATCGCACGGACGAATCAGAGCTGGAAGCGACCTGCGAGCAGATGGCAGCGGCGCCCACTGCCCTTCCCGGGAAGAGCCGGCCAGCGCCGGCTGCCAGGGAGCTGCCCCTTCGCGGCCACTGACCTCCGCGGCCTGCAGCTCGCGGTCCCAGTCCCCCGCCCCCCACCACGCCAGCCCCCGCCGTGGGATGGACACGGCCACCTCCGTTCCATCCCGCCCTCGCCCCGCGTCTCCAAGGGGCGTGACGCCAACGGGATCCCTGGGGCCGCGGCGAGAGGACAGCAGGGAGGGAGGGCGCTGGGCTTGCACACCCAGCTCGATCGGAAACCCGGGGGTCCCCTCTGGACCCCGGGGCCGCGTCACCAGAGCGCAGGGCCAGGAGCAAGCCCCGAGCACGGTCGGGCGCGGTGTGGGGGATAGGAAGGGTCGTGGCCCCCCGACCAAAGAAATCAAAAACAGGGGCTGGGGACATAGGGCAGTGTGTCGGGCTGGGCATGGGAGCTGGGGGTCCCCACTGCACCCCACCCGCCCTCCTAGGGGGCCTCACTGCTGGGGGCTGGAGAGAGGCCAACAGGCTGGGCGCAGCTTTGCACGGGGAGACCCTGGCACTGCCGGGTTCCCCCCAAATGCCCTGAGCACTGCTTCGTGAGGCCACGCCCCATCAGGTGGGTGGGGGGCCCTGGGACCAGCCCACCGCCTTGTCCCCCCTCCCGAGAGCCTTGCTCCTCACTGACAAGGAGACATAGCCCCCTGCCCTCGCCCCGGTCTGCTTCCTGACCCAGGGGACACCTGGTGGCAGGTACGGGGACCCGGGCAGGGTCCAGCCCTTTAGGTGCGTCCTAGCCGGAGACCCCAGGGCCCCCACCACCGGTGCGGGAGGGAGCCGGGGGGCACCCCAGAGCGGCGCCCGGGTACTCCAAGGCCTGGCACGGGCCCTGGCGCCCCAACCGTCCCGCTGCTTCCCTCTGCTGGAAACGGGGTGCCCCAAGCGGGGCGGGCCCCGAGTCCCCGGGGTGTTTCACTCATTCCGCCCGCGCGCGCTGGCTCGCCGGCCCCTCCCGCGCGCGCCTCCCCGGGGCCCGCGGGCTGGGCGCGGCGGGGTGGGGTGCCAGGGGCGCGCCGGGGCGGGGCGCGGCGCCCGGGGACCCCCCACCCACCCCCGGCGGGATCCGGCGGCCGCAGCGGCGGGAGGCCGGGCGCGCCGAGAGCCGAGCGCCTCCCGCCTCAGTTTCCCCGCCTCGCGGGGTCCCCCCCCGCGGCCCACCTCCCGCGCGGGCACGCGGACTCCCCGGCTCACCAGCGCCGCCGCGATCCGCTCCCCGAAGCTTCTGCGCAGGGGGCGAAGGTGGTGGCCGAGGTCTCCGGGCCGCCCCGCCCCGGACACGCCCCGGACACGCCCCGGACACGCCCACCCCGCCTTCCGGGCCCCGCCCCGCGCCCCAGGCCCCGCCCCGGACACGCCCCTCGCAGGCTCCGCCCCCGGCGGGAGCGGTGGGGTGAGAGGCGCGGCTCGGAGCCGGGCGCACGCGGCCCCAGGGCGCAGGCCGCACCCCTCCCGCTCCGGGGCGCACCCTCCCTGCGGGGGGCCCGCGGCGTGGGCGCTCGGGGGCGAGGCCCCCCATCTCCGGCTCTGTAGAACAGACCCGAGCTCAGGGGGGCGTAATAGAGGGTCGGGAGAGGGCGGGCACGACCCCCGAGCCTCGGCACCCCGCACCCCGCGTCTGCACGCGCGCGGCCCTGCCCCCGCGCCACCCTTGGCTGACTTGGCCGCCCGGCGCCCCTCGGCCTAAGCGGACCCAAGTGCCCAAACTGGTCCGCCTGGGGCCGAGGGGAGGTTCGGCTGCTTCTCCCGGGGAGGAGGAGGAGGAGGGCGGCGGCGGCCCCCACCCCCCGCCCCGGGCGCTGCGGGGTCCCAGGCCACTGTCTCGGGGTCCCAGGCCACTGTCTCGGGGTCCCAGGCCACTGTCTCGGGGTCCCAGGCCACTGTCCCGAATGCTCCAGTCCCCCCGCCTTGCCCTGGGTTTTGTTTGGCAGCGCGGTGGGGGGTGTTTGGGGGGCCGCGTCAAAGGGTAATGCGGGGGGCGCTCGTGCTGGGGGTCGCCCCTGGCAGGCTTCCTCCCACTCGGACCCTGCGCTCAGCCCACAGGGCGGCGGGAACCTCTTCCCGGGTCCCTGAAGGCGCCGAGTCCTCCTGGCACTGCGCCCCCCTGGCTGCCAGCCCCGCCCCCTTCCTGCCGGCGCTGCCCGCGCGCGCGCGGGGTGGCCGGGCGGGGGGACTCTCCTCCCCCGGAAGTCTGGTGGCCAGGGGGGACCAGGCAGCACCCGCAGCCCACCCCACCCCTCGCCCCTGGCTGTCACCCTAGCGGCCGGGTCCACGCGGGCACCCCCGGGAGGCAGACCTCTCTGCACCCAAACAGTTGCTGTTCGTTGATGCCCAAGTGAGAGTGCAAGCCTAAGCCCCCAAGGAGGTGACCCCTCACGGAGGAGATCCCTGTGTCCCCCAGGGCCCAGCTGTCGCCCTAGAATCCCACGCAGCTCAGGACGACCCCCACCTCCGTATCCCTGGCAGCCCCCCAGTGCTTCTGGCTTCTTCCTGTTCAACCTTAACAAGCCCCCCCCCAAAAAAAACCCTAAACTGCACCCTTCTGAGCAGAGGCCAGACCCCTCACTGGCCCCCTAACTGCCAACCCTCCGTCCCTGACCCCGCCACACCCCTCCTCTGCTCAGGACCCTCCCAGGCCTGAGGGTCGGGGATGGGAGTCACAAACCCCCTCACCCACCCCCCACTTCTGTGTCAGCCCCCTAACCCCACTGAGAATTTCCCTCAACCTTAACCCTGTATCTCTGCACAGCCAGCCTGGCTTTCTAGAACTTTCCCCGAGACCGGGCTCAGGCTTGGGCTGGCCCCACACTCAGCCAGCTCCAGAGCACTGTCATGGGGGCCCCTTTGGGGGGACCTGCAGGAAGCTTGGGAGGACGCCGGGTGCCCCTTCCGATCAGCGTGGTGAGGTCAGGGACAGCCCCACGGCCACTCGGCTCATGCAGTGGACTCTCTCTCTCTCTCGGCCTGTGTCATGTTAGGCGCCTGCTCTCACTGGGGCTCTGGAACCTTCTTTCCCTCTGTGTTGTGTTGGTGACTCACAGGCTGCTCGCCTGCCTTTCCCAGGATGGCCGCCTGCCGTCCACGCCTTTCGAGCTGTTTTCTTCCCTTTTCCGTGCGTAGGAAACCTTCTCCGTTATTATCATTCATCGTCTCTGTTTTTCATGGGGGAGGTTCAGCAAAGGACACACAACACCAGTGCAGGGGTCCGGAGAGATAGCACAGCAGGGAGGGCCCTTGACTTGCACACCCTCAACCTGGGCTGGATCCCCGGCACCCCCTAGGGCCCCCCCAAACCCCAGCCAGAAGTCATCCCTGAGCACGGAGTCAGGAGTAAGCCCTGAGCATTACCAGGTGTGGTCAGGAAAAAAAAAAAAAACTTCTGTTCATTTTGGTGTTTTTGTTCTGGGCCCACACCCAGAAGTACTCAGGTGTTACTCCTGACTCTGTGCTCAGGAATCACACCTGTTGGTGCTCAGGGGACCCTATGGGATGCCGGGGATCAAACCCGGTTGGCTGCATGCAAGGCAAACACCCTCCCCACTGTCCTGTTGCTTCAGTCCCCTGACACTTCTGTTCATATTTGGGGGGGGGGCACACCCAGCTATGCACAGGGGTTACTCCTGGCTCTGCACTCAGGAATTACTCCTGGCGGTGCTCGGGGGACCCTATGGGATGCTGGGAATTGAACCCGGGTCGGCCGCGTGCAAGGCAAACGCCCTCCCCGCTGTGCTATCGCACCAGCCCCACTTCTGTTCATTTTGCACCGACCTTAAGAACATTCTGTGCCTAGGTGAACGCCCAGAATGCCACCAGCGCCCCGGGCGCCTCCTGGCGGGGACCCAGGGCTCCTCCCGCCAACCTCTCACTCCCTTCTGAGCCCACGCGCCCTCTGCATTCCTGCTGTCCCCCAACGGAACTGCCTGAACAGCCCAGGGGGCACACACACGCAGCTGGGCATGACAGCCTGGCACAGCCCTGGGACCCCCAGCAGGCAGGCAGAGGCGGGCGGCGCACTGGGTCACAGCCAACTCTCCTGGAGGAAGTGCCCAGAGGTGGGGCCCCTCTGTCCCCTGGCTTCCGACCTCTCTGCACCGCCCCTGTGCTGATGCCAGGAGGGGAAGTGGAGTCAGTTCCTCGGCAGCACCCGCTGCTGCCCGGCTGCCCGAGATCAAACACGGTCCCCAAGAACCAGCCCGCCCGGCGCTCCTGGCGTCCAGACAGCACTGCGCCCTGCTGGGCAGGCTTCGTCCCGTCCCTGCCGCACGCCAACCACTAGCGCCCTGTGGACCCTTAAACCCAGCTTGCACCCAGGGGGGTCCTGGGAAGCTTGCAGCAGGGATGGGGGCAAAGCCACGGCCCCTCCCTGCACAGCTCACACTCTTTTTTTTTTTTTTTGCTTTTTTTGGGTCACATCTAGCGATGCTCAGGGGTTACTCCTGGCTCTGCACTCAGGAATTACTCCTGGGGACCATACGGGATGCTGGGAATCGAACCTGGGTTGACCGCGTGCAAGACAAGCGCCCTACTTGCTGTGCTACCACTCCAGCCCCTCACACTCATTTTTTTGGGGGGTGAGGGGTCACTCTTGGCAGGGCTCAGGGTTACTCCTGGCTCTGCGTCCAGGAATCCTTTCTGGCAGTGACGGGTGCTTCAGAGATGCTACAGATCCAACCCGGGTCGGCCGCATGCAAGGCAAGCACCCTCCCTGCTGTCCTTCTGACGTAGGCAGGATAGGGAAGGCCTCCCAAGGCAACGGCCCAAGCCAACCTTGCAGAAAATGAGAAAAACAGGAACTAAGAAACCCTGATAAAACCTTGAGCCCCAACCAACCCTGAGGAGATTGGACAACTCCGCATGAAGGAAATTCCTTGAATACCCTGACTTTAGTGATTCAGCCCAAAAGAAGACCATCATCACTCCCAAACTCCCTGGTAACCTCCTTAGCAACGGACTTTTACCTAGGAAGAAGCCCCACATGGGGGGCAAGTTGGAGTAACCCTATAAAAGCCATCTTGGGGGCTGGAGAGATAGCACAGCGGGTAGGGTGTTTGCCTTGCACACGGTCGACCCGGGTTCGATTCCCAGCATCCCATATGGTTCCCTGAGCACCGCCAGGAGTAACTCCTGAGTGCAGAGCCAGGAGTAACCCCTGTGCATCGCCAGGTGTGACCCAAAAAGCAAAAAAAAAAAAAAAGCCACCTTGAACAAAGGAAGGACGCACATATGCTGCCCGAGCCCACGTGCTTTTTGCATCGACGTGGCCGAGTACATGTGTCGCCCGCATCTCCCCTCTTGAGATGTGTACTTTTTTTTTTTGCTTTTTGGGTCACACCTGGCAATGCACAGGGGTTACTGGCTCATGCACTCAGGAATTACACCTGGTGGTGCTCAGGGGACCATATGTGTTGCTGGGAATCGAACCCGGGTCAGCCGTGTGCAAGGCAAATGCCCTACTCGCTGTGCTATCGCTCCAGCCCCAAGATGTGTACTTTCATGCTTTCATGTCTAATGCTGGGATGTGTGTAGGGCTCTCTTCGTCCTTGGAGAAGTTCAACCTTGAGTGCGTTACTCTCTCTCTCTCTCTCTCTCTTCTCTCTCTCTCTCTCTCTTCCCCTCCACACTTTCAAAAACCCTCCAAATAAAATCCATTTATTAGCTGCCTATCTACTCCTGAAATTCCTTTCTGCGAGGCGAGACAAGAACCCAGTAACCCTGGGTCCTGGGTGGCAGAGGCGGATGGGGAGAAAGTGACCGTCTTTCTCCTCCCCGCTTCACAGAAGTCCCCCGTGGGGCCTGCCGACATCACTATCACTCTGGCCTCCTCGCTCACTTTTGAGCTCATTCCACCCTGTGGCTGCGGGGTGTTCAGCCAGGCACAAGCCGTCGTCCTGGGTCCGAGTGTCCCTTGTGTCATCCTCCAGTGGCCACACGGAGCAGCCACTCGGATGCAGCAGGTCTGGCCTGGGATGTGGAGCACTCACCTGGCGTGAGAGATGCCCTGGGTTCTAATCCCAGCACCAAAGAATCCACGCAAAGGAGCTGAGTGCCCCATCCGTCGTTGAGGGACCCAGTGACCCAGAGGTCTGCATCCAGGTCCTTTCTTTTGTCCTTTAGTGTTTTATTTTAGAAGGGAGTCACATCCGTGCTGCTCGGGGCTGACTTGTGGCTCTGTGCTCAGAGATGACTTCTGGCGGGGCTCGGGGGGTCGGGGCATACGTGGTCCTGAGGATCAGGCCAGGGTCAGCTGCAAGCAAGGCAAGCGTTGGACCTGCTGAGCTCGCTGACCAGCCCCATCCAGGCCGTGTCAGGCTGAAAAGTCACTTCATGTATTGTTCAGACACAGACAGCTTGTGTAGGGGCCCCGCCAGGCGCTGCTGGGAGCTGGGAGATGCAGCCACGGGGACTGGAGTTGAGGGACACCGAGCAGGAGGATGGCGCCAAGGGTTGGAGCGTCCCTGAGCACCAAGCTGGGAGTCGCCCCTAAGCACTAAGGGTGCCCCTCCACAAACAAAGCAAACAGACTTCGGGCTGGGCTTGCTCTGCCCTTGATACACGTTCCCACCCCTGATTTTTTTTTTCTGTTTGGGTCACACCCCGCTATGCTCAGGGGTTACTCCTGGCTCATGCACTCAGGAATCAGTCCTGGCAGTGCTCGGGGGACCATATGGGATGCTGGGAATTGAACCCGGGTCGGCCGCGTGCAAGGCAAACGCCCAACCTGCTGTGTTATCGCTCCAGCCCCCGCCCCTGATTTTTAATTCTTATTTATCTTTTGGTTTGGGGCCCCAGTTGTGCTCAGGGGTCACCCCTGGCTCTTCGCTCAGGACTTACTCTGACGGGCTCAGAGGACCCTATGGGATGCTGGGGATGGACCCAGGTCAGCCGCATGCAAGGCAGACGTCCTACCCCCTGTACTATCCTTCTGGCCTTACAACTCGAGTTTTGATTTTTTTTGCGGGGGGGGGGGGCTTTTTGGATCACACCGGGTGATGCACAGGGGTTACTCCTGGCTCATGCACTCAGGAATTGCTCCTGGCGGTGCTCAGGGGACCATATGGGTTGCTGGGAATCGAACCTGGGTCGGCCATGTTGGCTGCGTGCAAGGCAAACGCCCTACTCGCTGTGCTAACACTCCAGCCCCAAACCACTCGAGTTTTTAATGCTGCCATCTTACTCATTCCCGAGGGGTTAGAATTGGCGTAGTAGCTCTGTAGCAGCAAAACAACCGTGGTATTGTAAATTATATCTCAATAGAACATTGATCCGTCATTATTTTTTTTTTAATGTAAGAGTATTGCTAGTTATTCAGCCATTGATTAGGCTGATTGAACTAGGCATGAACTCTACTGATTCGTCATTAATGCAATGATGGTTTGGGGTTAATAGTGAGATGTTTATTTATTTATTTTTATTTACAAAGTTTTATTCATTTATTTATTTATGCATAGTTCAGTTTTAGACACACACAGGTCTGATATCAAAGTCTCTAACCCATTTTGAACTGAACTTTTATTATTTTTTAATTTTTATTTAAAAAAAAATTTTTATTAGTGAAACACCATGAGGTACAGTTGTAGACTTACAAGTTGTTGTGCTTGGGTTTCAGTTACGCAATGATCCAGTGCCCATCCCTCCACCAGTGCCCATTCTCCATTATTTACATTTAATAGTGAGGTGAATAAAATAAAGTATACCGGGATTAGGCGCTTGCCTTGCATGAGATTGTCTCGGCACCTTTTATGGTCGTCTGGGTCCTAACAGGAGTGATCCCCAAGCATAGAACTAGTCCTGAGCAGAGTCAGGGGTGTCCCCAAACCAAAGCAATTAATATAATTTAAAAAACGGTAAACAGTGTGTTTTTGATGTCTCCTGTCCTTGAGTGGCCCAATCCTTCTCTGTCAAAAGAAACAGACCAAAGCAGTGTCTCAAATTCTCAAACTTTCAAATACTTTCAAATGTTCACGTCGGTGCATCTATGTCTTCCGCTGCTGGGAAGTCATTTCTGCCTCTCTAGGTTTGGGGAGGGGGGTTACACCGGGTTCTGGGTTTCCCGTCCGCAGAGAGACCAGTTCCACAAGAAAATGCAAATGCAAAGGAACCTTCATTGCTAGCTCAAGCGAGGGTCCAAGCCTTATCCATCACAGAGGAGTCTCGACAAGGACCCGACACAAGTTCCAGAGAACATTATATGGCATATGGTTACATAAACAACGTTGGCAGTTTTCCCAAGAATTTCGAGGAAGCAGCCCCAAGTCTGTGAGCTAATGGGTCATGCCCACCTGCTGTGTCCAGAGATATCCCCCTTATCACAGGACTAGCTGGAGGCATCTAGGGGATTTCTGGCTTCCGGCAAGGACAGTCTCAGGGAATTCTTTGGATGATAGCAGAAACTGAGGTCTACTGCTTGTTTTGCTGAAGTGCAGCCTGTCGTGGTGCCTGTGAGGTTCTTTCTTGACCTCAGTATCCGTTTCTCTTTTTTTTAATTTTTTTTTAATTTATTTTTTGTTTGATATTGAAACACCATGAGGTACAGTTGTAGACTTACAAGTTGTTGTGCTTGGGTTTCAGTTATACAATGATTGAGTTTTCATCCCACCACCAGTGCCCATTCTCCACCCCTACCAATCCCAGTGTCCCTCCCACCCTCAGTATCTGTTTCTTGCACCCAGCCTGGACACTACCACATTCTTCCTGGGCTTAGAATCTCAGCGCACCCCAGGCACTGTTTTGGGGGGCAACCCCCATCAATTCTCAGGGGTTACTCCTAGCTCCGTGCTCAGGGACCATTTGGGGAGTCAGGAATTGAACCCCTGTTGGGGTCGGCCAACTGCAAGGCAAGAGTCTGACTTACTTTACTATTGCTCTCACCCTGTTCTTCCATTCTCTCATGAACTTATTTTTCTGGTTTTTTAAAAGGCATTTGTTCCCAGAAGTGAGGATATAGCCCCTTGAGAATATGTGTATATATATATTTTTATATATATATATATATAAAACATCTATATCATGGGCTGGAGCGATAGCACAGCAGGGAGGGCGTTTGCCTTGCACGTGACTGATCTGGGTTCAATTCTCAGCATCCCATATGGTCCCCCGCGCACTGCCAGGAGTGATTCCTGAGTGCAGATCCAGGAGGAACCCCTGAACATTGCCGGGTGTAACCGAAAAAGTAAAAAAAATCTATATCAAATGTTAGCAATATTTATAATTTAATAATCTTAAAGCTTGGGACCTAATGGCATCACGCAAATTAATCTGATTAAAGCACTCATAGGGGTTAGAGCGATAGTACAATGGGTTGGCCACTTGTCTTGCACTCAGATGACCCAGGTTCGATCCTGGCACCCCACAAGGGTCCCCTGAACGTTTCCAGGAGTGATCCCTGAGCACCACTGGGTACGGACACAAACCCAAAATAAGTAAATAAAGTGTGCTTATAGGCTTTGAACATGGTTCTCAACTGGACACTTGCTGGCAACATTTAATCCTGCCCCTGTGAGGCCGAGAATAAACTTCATATGTGCCATGACAGGCTGCACTTTGGCAAAACAAGCAGTAAGCCTACGTTTCTGTCCACCCCCCCCAAGAATTCCCTGAGACTGTCCTTGGCCAAAGCTGGAAATCCCCTAAATGCCTCCAGTCAGTCCTGTGATAAGGAGGATATCTCTGGGCACAGCAGGTGGGCATGACCAATTAGCTCACAGACTTGGGACTGCTTCCTCGAAATTCTTGGGAAAACTGCCAACATTGCTTATGTTACGATATGCCATATAATGTTCCTGGGAACCTGGGTCAGGGTCCTTGTGGAGACTCCTCTACTTTGGATGAGATTTGGAGCGATAGCTCAGCGGGGAGGGCGTTTGTCTCGTACACGGCATACTGGGTTCGATTCCTAGCATCCCATAGGGTCCCCCGAGCACCACCAGGAGTGATTCCTGAGTGCAGAGCCAGGAGGAACCCCTGAGCATCACTAGGTGTGACCCAAAAAGCAGGAGAGAGAGAGAGAGAGAGAGAGAGAGAGAGAGAGAGAGAGAGAGAGAGAGAGAGAGAGACTTGGACCCTAGCTCCATCTAGCAATAAAGGTTCCTTTGCAGGGAACACCAAGTAAAGGGTGTTTGGAAGACTATATAGACCGAACATGATGGTCACTCAATACCTCTATTGCAAACCAGAACACCCTAAAGGAAAGAGAGAGCAAGAGGGAATGCCCTGCCATAGACGTGGGGCAGGGTGAGGGGGGGATAGGAGGGGTGGGAGGGCTACTGGGTTCATTGGTGGTGGAGAATGGGCACTGGTGGAGGGATGGGTACTCGATCATTGTAGAACTGAAACCCAAACAGAAAAATACGTTAGTCTAAATAAATAAATTTAAAATATGGGGGCTGGAGTGATAGCACAGCGGGTAGGGTGCTTGCCTGGCACATGGCCGACCAGGGTTCGATTCCCAGCATCCCATATGGTCCCCTGAGCACAGCCAGGAGTGATTTCTGAGTGCAGAGCCAGGAGGAACCCCCCCAAAAACTTGAAAAGACAGCTACAAAAAAAAAAAAAAGGTTCCCGTGCGTTTGCATTCTCATAGGTGGAACTAGTCTCTTTGCAAAGGGCAAACCCAGAACCCAAGGAGACCGTGCGTGTATGTGCGCGTGTGTGTGTGTGTGTAGGGGTGGGAGGGGGCATCTCAGAGCCTGGCCGGAGACCGGGTGTGTGTGTGTGTGTGTGTGCGCGTGTGCGTGTGCGTGTGTGTGTGTGTGTGCGCGCAAAGGGGAAACCCAGAACCCAAGGAGACCGTGTGTGTGTGTGCGTGTGTGTGCGCGTGTGTGTGTGTGTAGGGGTGGGAGGGGGCATCTCAGAGCCTGGCCGGAGACCGGGTGTGTGTGTGTGTGCGTGTGCGTGTGTGTGTGTGTGCGTGTGCGTGCGTGTGCGTGCGTGTGTGTAGGGGTGGGAGGGGACACCTCAGAGCCTGGCCGGAACCTTTCTCCCCGGCGCGCGGCGGGACCCGCCCGGCCGGAAACACGCGCGGGACCGCGCAGGCGCAGTGGGCCGCGGGGCCGGGGCCGGGCCGCGGCGCGCAGGCATGAGCGTCCGGGCTGCAGCGGCGGCGCGGGCGGCGCGGAGCCCGGGGGTCGCGGGCTGGGCCCCGCGCGGCCGCCGCGCCGCCTCCCAGTGGCCGCCGCCGCCCGGCGTGGTGGACGTGGCGCGGCTGCTGCGCGACGCGGAGGCGGCGGCGGGGCCCGGGGCGGCGTTGGCGCGGGGGCCCGCGCGGCGCTCGGTGCTGCTGTTCCCGGGCCAGGGCAGCCAGGCGCTGGGCATGGGCCGGGCGCTGCTCCGCTTCCCGCGCGCCCGCGCCCTCTACGCCGCCGCCCGGCGCGTGCTGGGCTACGACCTGCTGCGGCTCAGCCTGCAGGGGCCGCGGGAGGCGCTGGACCGCACCGTGCACTGCCAGCCCGCCGTCTTCGTGGCCTCGCTGGCCGCCGTGGAGAAGCTGCGGGCGCAGCAGCCCGCGGTGCGTCCCCGCCCGGGTCCCCTCGCGATCGCCCCCGGGCTCGGGCCGGGCCCCCAGGCAGCGGGGCGGGGCGTTGGCCTTGCACGCGCGGCCGACCCGGGGTCGAGGCCCAGCACCCCATAGGGTGTCCCCCTTCCCGCCTGAGCACCTCCAGGAGTCATTCCTGAGTGCAGAGCCAGGGGTGACCCCGTGCACCTAGGCACGGAGTGTCCTTAAGGTCGGTGCAACGTGAACAGAAGTGGGGCTGGTGCGCAGGTAGGGCCTTTGCCTGGCACACGGCTGACCCAGGGTTCGAGTCCCAGCACCCCATAGGGTGTCCCCCGCCTGAGCACCTCCAGGAGTCATTCCTGAGTGCAGAGCCAGGGGTGACCCCGTGCACCTAGGCACGGAATGTCCTTAAGGTCGGTGCAAAATGTACAGAAGTGGGGCTGGTGCGATATAGCACAGCAGGTAGGACCTTTGCCTTGCACGCGGCTGACCCGGGTTCGAGTCCCAGCATCCCATAGGGTCCCCCCTAGCGCTGCCAGGAGTAATTCCTGAGTGCATGAGCCAAGAGTAACCCCTGTGCATCGCCGGGTGAAAGCCAGGTGAATTGCTGGCTGCTAACGCTTCCTGGTCTCTAGTACTTTTCACTTGGACCCAGGCAGCGCTGAGCACCCTCAGGCAGGCTTCACCTAGGCACAGAATGTTCTTTTTTTTTTTTTTTTTTTGCGTTTTGGGTCACACCTGGCGATGCACAGAGGTTACTCCTGGCTCTACACTCAGGAATAACCCCCAGCGGTGCTCGGGGGACTATCTGGGATGCTGGGAATCGAACCCGGGTCGGCCGCGTGCAAGGCAAACGCCCTACCCGCTGTGCTATTGATCCAGCCCCAGGCACAGAATGTCCTTAAGGTCAGTGCGAAATGAACAGAAGTGGGGCTGGTGCGATATAGCACAGCAGGTAGGACCTTTGCCTTGCACGCGGCTGACCCGGGTTCGAGGCCCAGCATCCCATAGGGTCCCCCCTAGCGCTGCTAGGAGTAATTCCTGAGTGCGTGAGCCAAGAGTAACCCCTGTGCATTGCTGGGTGAAAAGAAAGCCAGGTGAATTGCTGGCTGCTAACGCTTCCTGGTCCCTAGTACTTTTCACCTGGACCCAGGCGGCACTGGGCACCCTCAGGCAGGCGTCCAGGATGTGGTGACCGGGTGAGGAAGGGAGACCCAGGTGTTCAAGGCGTTGGTCCTCAGGGTCCTGCAGGTGGTACTTGGGGTCTCCATGCTCAGCACTATGCACACCTCGTATCCTCCCACCCCATGTACAGATGAATTCGCCGAGTCTCAGAGAGTTAGGGGGTTCACCCAAGGTGAGACTCGGGCCGAATTCTGTGACTCACCTCCCTGGGTCCTACAAGAGAGCCCCCAGGGGCAGAGAGGTGGGCAGCCAGGCTGGGGCAGCTCACCCCGACGGGTGGGCCCGTGAGTGGCCAGGTCACTCCTGTATGCCCTTTCCTGGACCTGGACCTGGCTCAGAGCTCCCGAGCACCCCGCTGGCTCCCGAGGGGGCGCCCGGCTCACTGTGCGTCCTCCACCAGGTGATTGAGGGCTGCGTGGCCGCCGCCGGCTTCAGCGTGGGAGAGTTTGCCGCTCTTGTGTTCGCCGGAGCCATGGACTTTGATGAAGGTACTCAGGAAGGGCTCGGTGTGCACAGGGGCCCTGGACAGGGGCCCAAGGGGAGGCTAGCTGTGCCTCGGCGGGGCGGGGGGCAGGGAAGCGAGTGACCTCGGAGCCCCAGGAGTGTGTCTGAAGGAGGCCCAGGGGACACCGGGTGACCTGCTGGTCGCTGCCTGCAGCCCCTCGCCCACCTCACCTGGCAGCCTCTAAGTGCCGCCGAACAGGAAGGAAAGAGCAGAGAATGTTTCTGTTGAGCCAGGTGTGACCCCTGAAAATAAATAGGATTTAAAACTGCACATCGGGGAGGGCGTTTGCTTTGCACGTGGCCGACCTGGGTTCGAGTCCCAGTATCCCATAAGGTCCCCCGAGCACTGCCAGGAGTAATTCCTGTGCATTGCCAGATGTGACCCAGAAAGCAAAAAAAAATAAAACTGCACTGCTCACTGGGAAATTGCAGATCAGACCCCGCGAGACCCCGTTTCACATAGCCAGGGTGAACTTGCATTTAAACCAGCAAACGAGGAAAAAGTGAAAGTGCTGATGACCGTGGGGATGTGACAGGAAGGGGGGACAGTAGTGTCACAGTGTGACCCCCAGGTCCGCTCCAAGGGACTGGCAGACGCAGAGACTCGCCGCGGGGAAAGGGCCCCGGGAACAGCTTATCGCAGCCGAGGCCGGAAGCCACCAGGCCGGCTGCTCCCTGCAGGGGTGACCCTGGGCGATAAGAGTCCCCACACCGGCGACATGCTGAGGAACCCCCAGGTGGGAGCGAGTCGGTCAAATCTGGGGTCTCAACCAGGGCACGTGCTGCTGAGCGCGTGGCCAGGCCCCTCTGCTCTTCCCAGAGAGCACTGAACCGGGAGAAAGCCGCTGGCTCTGCACAGGGATTGCATGCAGGAGGCCCAGGTTCTTCTAGCACCACCTGGTGCCCTGAGCACTGGGCCGGGAGTAGACCCAGCCATGCTCGCTGTGGGTCAACTTAAAAAAAATAAAAGAGTAAACATAAACACAGCAGTTGGGCCCAGGCTGGCTCAGCGGGATGACATGGATGGCCGTAGAGCTGGTGCCTGTCCCTGTCCCGACGTGCTGTGGGCGTTCTGGAAGGCCCAGCAAGGCTGAGCCCCTGGGAGGGCTTGGGCCTGAACCTCCCTGGGTCTGTTCCCACCCTCGGAGCAGGCCCAGGTGAGGGTATTGGTGGGGACCCTGACAGCCCTGTCCAACCCCCACCCCACGGTCCCCACCCTGGTCGATGCCACCAGCTCTGGGTTCATGGTTGTCAGAAGTGATGGAAACTCACACTTGTGGGTAACGTGTACCCGGCGCCCAGAGCTGGGAGGCTCATTCTTTGGGGGCGCAGTGAAAGCCTGTAGATGGTGGTCATCACCCCTGGGATCTACCCACAGGTGGCCGGGACACCCCGACCTCAAGTTGTGACCATCAAATCCTGTGCCCCACTCCCTGCCCCCCGCCCCCCCAGGGAGGGCCCGGGTGTAGGCTGAGCCTGGCCTCTCCCACAGGGCTCCATGCAGTGAAGGTGCGCGCGGAGGCCATGCAGGAGGCCTCGGAGGCCGTGCCCAGCGGGATGCTGTCCGTCCTCGGCCAGCCGCAGTCCAAGTTCGCCCTCGCCTGCCAGGAAGCGCGTGAGCACTGTGCGGCCTCGGGCCTGAAGGACCCGGTGTGCGAGGTGTCCAACTACCTCTTCCCCGACTGCAGGGTCATCTCGGGCCACCTGGAGGTAGGTGTGGGGGGACCCACCCGGGCAAAGGCATAGGATAGTGCCCGTGTCTCTAGGGGATCTGTGGCCAACTGATGGCCCAGCGTCCGGGACGGCCGTGCCGCCAGCCTCCTGGGGTCTGTCCCTCCCGTCCTCCTGTCGCTGGGCAGGGGGGTTTGCTTCTGCCCTTCCTCCCAGCTGTCCTCATTCTCGCAGATCCTAGACGCCTGCTCAGGGGGAACACAGGGTGAGGGGCACCTCAGGGAGGTGGGCAGCTGGAGAAAGGGCATTTCTGTGCCAGGAGCCTGCCCTTTGGGCGGGGGTGCAGGGGGCTGGGGTGGCGGGCAGTGTCCAAAATCACACCTTGCGGCTCCTGGCTGGCCTGTGGGCAGAGAACGGGCACTTGGGTCACTCGGGTCTCCTCAACCATGCCAGGAGCTGCCAGGTGTTAACTTGGAGAGCCCCCTGGGGAGCTGGGGGTGCGGGTCGCAGACTGGGTGGTCCAGACTGATGGTGCCGGAACTCCCGGGTGGGCATCACTCCCCAAGTGCCAGGTCCGGGCTGGGGGCGCCCGCGAGGCCACCCCGAGGGCCTCCCCCGGCGCGGCCCACACCCGTTCCCTGGCACCCCCCAGGCCCTGCGCTTCCTGCAGAAGAACTCGGCCAGGTTCCACTTCCGCCGCGCCAAGCTGCTGCCCGTGAGCGGCGCCTTCCACACGCGCCTCATGGAGCCCGCGCAGGAGCCCCTGGCACGGGCGCTGCGCGACGTCCGCGTCCGCAAGCCCCTGGTGGCCGTGCACGCCAACGTCAGCGGGCACCGCTACGCCGACCCCAAGCACATCCCCAGGCTGCTGGTGCAGCAGGTGGTGGCCCCGGTGAAGTGGGAGCAGACGATGCACATCATCTACGAGCGGAAGAAGGGCACCCCCTTCCCCAGGACCTTCGAGGTGGGCCCGGGCAGGCAGCTGGGCAGCATCCTCAGGAGCTGCAACATGCAGGCCTGGAAGTCCTACAGCAGCGTGGACGTGGTGACGCCGGACGAGGAGGACGTGGACCCGGACCCGGACCCGGCCCCGGCCCCCTGAGGCGCCCTTTTGCTGGCAGGGCCCCGCCCACCCCTCTGGAGTGCCACCCAGGGGCCCACTTGCTCTGGGGCCCCGCCCACAGCCCTGGGCCCCGCCCACCTGCTCCGGAGCCCCGCCCCCTGCCCACGTGGTGGGGCTTGTGGCCCAGCGCCGTGAGCGCCAACGCCGGAGAAAGCATTAAAGGTGCATTTTCTCTACCCGCTGCTTGTTTCCCCCTTGAACAGTGTCCAACGCCGGGAAAGCAGCTTTGGGGGTGGAGCCCCGCCGGCCTCCCTCCTCCAGCTCCACTGTCCTGCCCCCTGGCGGGCATCGTTGCCCAGATGTGAGGTGAGCTGGGGGCCCCGCTGGGGTCGCTGGACACACTGACCCACCAGCCACCGTGGGACCGGGGTCAGAGGCTTCCCTGTTGTTACCTGCAGGTACCCAGTCGGGAGAGCTGCACCCCCCAGTGTCCTCCAGAATGCCACTCCCCCCCCCAGCACGGGTGCACCTCTTCTCTCCACGGAGACCCAGGCCATGCAGAGGGGGCTCACACACAACCGGTGGGCAGCCGGTCTCAGGGTCCAGTTGCAACAGCAGGCGACCAGAGGGCTTCCTGGAAGAGGTGACCCTGGGTTTGGCCTTGTTACTAACCATGCTGATTATACAATGGGCCCCCAGGGCCAGAGGGTCAGTGCATCGACACAGGCGGTGTCTTCAGTGTCCCCACTCCCTCACACTGCCCTGGCCGGCCCCCTCCGCCCATGGGCCCCAGAAGCAGCCCCCACACGGGGACAGAGAGGCCAGCAGGAAGTGCTGGAGGAGCCCCCGGCGGGTGGGCTCAGGACCCCCATCACAGGGGCCTTGAAGCCAAAGAAACGATCCCTAGTGGCGCACTGGGGGCAGAAGGGAAGGGGCTGGCCCAGCCCCCACAGCCGCACGCGCGAATTTTGGGGTGCGAAGGGGCGTAAGGCGGGGAGTGTGGCCCTGTGCCCTGCCCGGGCAGGGCGGACCCCAAAGAGGGCTGGCGCCGGCTGGAGACCAACAGTTTTATTGCGCTCTCCCACCCCTCAGAAATCCATTCCAGCAGATGTTCTCGTTGGGGCCCCAGAGACACGGGGGTGTGGCCAGCACTCCCCCCGGCCGCCGGCCAGGTGACAGTCCCAGCGGAGCGGGGCTGGGGCAGGGAGGCAAGGCCGTTAACCAGTAACGCCCGAGGTCCAGGGAGTTCATGTCTCTGACGAAAACAAAGATGGGAGGGGACGCCAACCGGTGGCGACCTCAGCAGTGTCCCAGCACGCAGAGCTTAAATATCAAAAAGGGATCTTCAGAAAAAACGGGAAAAAGACAACCAAGGAGGCCACCTCCAGGGTGGCGGGAGGGGGGTCCAGCCCCCCAGGCTGCCAGCAGCCGCAGGGGTCACAGGAAACGCAGACCCCAGCCCACAAGCAGCAGCAGCACCAAGGACAGCGCCAGCTCGCGCCCCAGGGCGGGGCGCACCTGCGGGGGAGACAGGGGAGACAGCCGTGAGTCCCGACCTCAGACCCCTCCGGGCCTGCGCCACGCCGAGGGGTTCGGGCAGGCTGGTGGGGTGGTCTGGTGACGCTGGGGACCCAGGGAGACTCGAGCAATCCGGCATGAGGGGCCTCAGGGGAGGGGACCCTGGGTGAACAGGTGTGGAGAGGCGGGGCGAGCCCCCGGGGCAGGGGACAGCGGACTGGGGCCTGGGCCTCTCTGGGGAGGGGGGTGGCAAGTGGGCACGGCTGGGACTGTGGTGGCAGCTCTGGGGGAGGGGGGGAGGGCGCAAGGCTCTTACCCGGGCCCTGAGGGTCAGGAAGCCCCAGATCCGTGCACTCTCCCTGAGGTTCCTGAGCAGGTCTCCGAGGACGCCCCGCACGCCCGTCTGGCTGTAGGTGAGGGCCAGGCTGGAGCAGAAACAGGTGGGAGGGGGCGTGAGCACTGGGATGGGGGGCGAGGGGGCACTCAGCCGCAGGGCAGGCACGGCCCAGCCCTCCCGCACCTCTGACCCTGTGCGCCCACCCTGCTCCTGGTTCCAAATTCATCACCGGGGGTCCCCCCGCCCCTGTTCAGCCATGTGCGGGCGGGGAGCAGCGGGTCTGTCCTGCGCCAAGACTGTGGTCCTGTCTGGGGAGATGCCCTGGGGCTTCCTACTTCCTGGGGTCTGGTGTGATCGGGCCCCGGCACCCCAGGAAGGGACCGAGACGCCGTGTCAACTTAACTCCATCCACACACACACACCCCCCGCACCTTGGGACACCCTGGACCCCAGTGTTGCAGCAGTGGACAGCAGCGCCCCCCCCCCAGGCTCCCACTGTGGTCCGGGCTCCCAGTGACCAGTGTCCAGCTCACCTGTGCACGGCCCGGCCGGGCAGCGTCCACCGCACCTCCATCTCGTCCCCGATGAAGGCCAGCCGCATGGCCACATCGTTCGGGCCGCTGGGGTGCGCCCTGCGGGGAAGCCGGGGTCACAGGGCCGTGAGGGCGCAGCAGAAGCCTTCAGGGTCCTCTTCTGAGTACCAAGATTTTTTTGTGTGGCCTGGTTGACCCCTCCCCACCCCCTGCCAGGACCGCACACCTGCAGGACCCCCAGTGGGGATTCTGAGCTGGCTGCTTCCCATGGGGGTCCCCAGCGGACACCCCTTGTGGGGGATGAGGGGCTCTGAACCCCCCGTCATTGGGGCCCCCGCTCTTGCTAGGGAGCGGCACCCCCAGCACCCCGGGGGACTGGAACCTGATCTCCCTCTGGTGCCCGCAGCCTCCCGGACACCTCTGCTCCCAGCGGGGGTGGGGGGTGGCGCCCACACATTCCATCCCGCTGACAAGCCAGCGGGGAATTCCTAGGGGCCCAGCTGAGCCTCGCCCACTCTCCTCCGCCACCTGCCCCGTCCTCCCGTGTGGGGACCTTGAGTCTAGGAGGTGGGGTCACAGGCAAGTGTCCCCCCCACCGTTGTTACGAGGTTCCCGGATCTGTGGGCCCAGGCATGCACCTCTGTGCTGCCCCACAGCCAAGGCTCGACCCAGGGCTGAGGGTACCCGCGTCCCCTCCCGACTCTGCGTCTCCCCAGCGGCTCTTGGCCGCCCGGCCCTGCTGCCTGACTGCTCAGGCCCGGAGAAGCGGGGCGCCACCAGGGCTCCCCCGATGGTGCAGGTGCGGTGGCGAGGGGCGAGGGAGTGACAGTGCAGTGCAGGGGATCAGACTCGGGGCCTCGAGTCTGCCAGGCGTGTGCCGGGGCCCCTCTCCTCATCGCCCCAGCCCAGATCTCTCTCCCGAGTGACGCTGACAGTGGCCGCGGGCCGGGAGCTCGCCTGCTGGACGGGAGCGCCCGAGGGGGATGGAGGCAGCAGGGCTGAGGGTCCCTCTGTGTGCCCGGCCCCCCTCCAGGGCCACAGTGGGAAATCTCCCCCGGGAATGAGCGGGAGGGCGGGGTGTGGGGCTCCCTGGGCCTCACCCGTGGCGGAGGGGTGCAGGAGCGCTGTAGTCTGTGACGTCCGTCATGCCGGGGACGGTCCCAGCACCCGGGAGATGCTCGCGCAGGAAGGAGTCGGCAAAGAGGTCCCTCGGGACAGGCCTGGCTCGGGGCATCTCTGGGGAGAGACACAGCCTGTGGGCATGTGCACGGTCCCTCAGCCCCTGGGTGCTGCCCCTCTGCTCTGGCCACGTCCCTGGGCTCCCTGGAAAGGATCTCTACGAGCCCTTACGGTTCCTCTTTATGAGGCAAAATCAGCCTCAACATGGTCTGGATATGGGTCGGCCGGGTCAAACCAAAGGCCCAGAGCCCACCTACAAGCCCCCAGCAAATGTCGGGGTGGGGTCATCAGCCACTGCCACGGTGTCCCCAAGCGAACCCCCCATTTTCTGAGCCACACCCAGGGGTGCGCGGGGATCAAGAGAGTGGCTCAGAGGGCTGGAGGGATAGCACAGCAGGGAGGCCTTGCACATGGCCCGACCCGGGTTCAATCCCCAGCATCCCATAGGGTCCCCCGAGCACCGCCAGGAGGGACTCCTGAGTGCAGAGCCAGGAGGAACCCCTGAGCATCACCGGGTGTGACCCAACCCCCCAAAAGAAAAGAGAGAGTGGCTCAGATATCCATTGGCGGTGACGGGGATCGAACCGGGCTCGGCCACTTGCCAGACAAACCCCTCAACCGCTGACCTATATCCTCCCCCACTTCCCGCCTTTGCCTGAGCACTGAGGGGGGCCTCACACGTTTTCCAAGCAGGTGCCCTGGTCCCCGGGGCCGGCAACTTCCCTTCCCAGGACCCGCCGCCTTCCCTGGCTTCCCAGCAGCAAGACCCCTTTTGTGACGGGCGACCCTGTCCGGATCCGCCACGCGCCCTTTCCCAGCGTCCCTTGCAGTGCAGGGTGGTGGCGGAGTTGGCGCAGGGCTACCACAGTGGCAGCCCGGCCACCGCCAGAGCAAGGGGCGGCAAGAGCGGCACGCCCCCGTGGAATGGCTGGACTGTTGCAAAACGACCAGCCACGACCCCCTAAACTCAGCAGGAAAAACGGAAGCGGGTTTGGGCCCGGGGGGAGGCGGGGGGGAGGCGGGAAGGTGGCAGCGGGCGTGCAGGGGGCGTCCCTGGCTCGGTTTCCTGGCACCGCGCTGCAGGGAGTGCCCCACGGGCGCAGAGCCAGGAGTGGCCACGGCACCTACGGGCCCCAGAGCATAAACAAACCAGCGGGTGAAAGGAGGCCTGTTTGATCACCCGGCGCGTTTCCGGGTCCTTCCCATGGCAGCTGCTGGCCCCACACCGCTGGGCGCTGACCACTGGACCTGAGGGCCCGGCCACTCACCCCGTGGTACCCAAGAGCCGTGGCCCAGGGGACAAGGATGCAGTGTGTGTAGCCCTGGAGTTCGGATCCGGGTCTGCTTCGTGGCAGCTGACAGCGCAGTGATGCTGGGGGAGGGGGGTTTCGGGAAGGACGCTCCCACCCCAACCCCGAGGAGCAGCGCCCCAAAGGCCCCTGTGAGCCCCATGTGGCTTCAGACCCTTCCCTCTCCTGGGTGTGGATGGAGCCCACCAGGGTTGCGAGCTGGAAAGGTCGGGCTGAGCCCCAAGTCTCCCACCCGACCCCAGCCAGGTGGATGGAACGGGGTGGGGGGGCGCCCCAAGAGGAATGTGATGGCGTGGGCCCGCATCAGGGCGGCCGCTGTCCTGCAGGTGTCCCGTCACGCAGGCAGGGCGGCTATGACGTTCTGCGGGGCGCGGGCAGGGGACCCACAGAGGCCGGCATTGTTCCCGGAGAGCCGGGCCAGCACCCCTATCCCCGAGCAAGCGAGAGCTGGTTTCGGTTCCTGCGCGGGCCGGGCGAGTCAGCATCTGTTCTAGATAAAAGGCCGAGGGGTGGGGGCTGAGGGGCGGCAGGCCCGTGGGGTGGGGGTGGGGGTTGGCTCAGGAACCAGACGCGTAAACACGGCGCCTGCAGCCACGCGGGGCCCGCGGCCTGGCATATGCCAGCGCACCTGTTGCTGGCACCTTCCCCGGGGGCTGAAAGGAGCTGTCAGGGCGCATGGGGTGGGGGAGGGGAGGGGTCCTCCCACCAGCCCAGGCCCCTGCAGGAGTGTCAAAAGCCAAGGCTGAGGGGCTGGAGCGACGGGAGAGTAGGGAGGGCGCTTGCTCTGCAGGTGGCAACCTGGGTTCGATCCCCGGCACCCCTGTAGTGCCCCCATCACCGCCAGGAGTGATTCCTGAGCGCCGGGCCAGGGCCAGGAGTGAACTCTGAGCATCGCCGGGTGTGGCCCAAAACAGAAACCAAACAAGCCGTCTGCCGAGACCCGGCAACTCCCCTGAAGCAGCGAGCCCAGACCCGGGACTGGGGGACAGTCTTGGAGGCGTCAGGCCCCCCATTCTGGGGGCTCTCGGTGGCAGCTAAAAGGCCCGACGGGGCTGGGGAGCACAGGCCGTGCGCACTGGAGGGCCTGACCCCTCCCCGCTGACCAGCACGCAGGCCCTCGGGCACCAGGAGCACATGTCCCCGGGGTCCCTTCCTCTGCCTGCGCCCCCCACATGGCATGCACACGGCCCCTGCTCCAGCCACCCCGCAGCTGACCCCCACCTATGCCGCTGGGGGTGCTGGGAGCGCACGACTGAACCCCCGTTTGCGTGGCACTTCCTGCTCTATGCCCCCACATGAAAGCGGGGAGGGAACCCCCCCTGGGAACTAAGAACCACCATCAGGATTTACACAAAGGGAAGGGGAGGTGACAGGATTACGGGGAGGAGACTGAGGGGACAGGGAGGTGCAGGTGGGTCGCCCGGCATCACCCACTGGAACCTCCTCCAGACTTCAAGCGGCCGCCCCAGAAACGCCCCGCAGGCCCCCCACAGCCACACGCAGGCGACCCCGACCCCGGGAAGAGTTGGGCCATGGGGGGCGACACTCCTGCCTGCACCTCACCCACCCCACCCCGACCTTCTTGGCCCCCAGGGATGGCGGGCTGGAGGGCAGGGCCCCCTGGACTGTCCATCTGAGCCAGGTGTCCAGCTGGGGAGTTGTGGGCGCTCGGGTCCTGCTGCCGGACTCCCTGCCGAGGTCACGGCTGAGGCCCCGGGCTGGGCCCGGAGTGAAGCTCTCCAGGGAGGGGGGTCTGGGGGGTGCGGCCGCCGGCACGCTTCAGGCCGGGCCAGCGTCAGGTGTGGAGGGCGCAGGGCAGAGACGAGACCAGGCGGGTGCGGCTGCGGGGTCACGGGCATAGAGCCGTCTGGGGGGGCACATACCCGTGTCCCCATCCGGGCCGCAGTCCACACACCTCAGACCCTGCAAGGTCAGATGCAAACCCCACAGCTGGAGCAGAGGGGTGCCGGGACCCTCTGGGGCTCCGCCAAAGCCTCAGTTTCCCCCTGTGGGAAGCAGGGATATGCCCGCCCCCTCTCCAGACCACAGGAACGCGGACGTGGGGAGAGGACCCTGGGGTACTTCCGAGGGGCACGGGGGTGCTCCCCTCTGTGCCCGCCCCCCAGCCGACACCCCAGCAGCCCCCATCACCGCTCTCGCTGGGGCAAACTCTGGTGCCCTCAGGGCTCTGGGCTCCCCTCATGGAGACCCCGATTTCTCCCCTATTTCCAGCCGGGCCACCAGTCTGACGCCCCACTGGACAAGGCCGCCCCAGAGGTCTGCCTGACCAGCGGCCTGACTTCCGGCCTCCTCCTGCGTGGGGTGGGCAGTGGCCCCAGGGAATAGGGGGGCGCCCCACAGCCTACGGGGGAGTGGGAGGGGGGCTGGGAAGCTGAGAGGCACAGCCAGGGCACCCGCCCACTCCCAGGCCTCTCTGCCCCTGATGCCCAGGACCCGGCTGGCCACCTGGGGGGGGCTGAGACTGGCAACTGTGTTGCTAGCAAGGGGGGAGGAACCGTAAACAGACCCCAGGGGAGGGGAGATGCACAGTGAGGCGGGCTCCCTAGATCGATCTTTTAACCCCCCAGGCTCTCCACCTTCTGGAACTTTCCCCACCACCCAGGTGCTGGCATCCCCAGAAACAGAGACAGGTCAACTCCAGGCATCAGGCCAGTGCGTGCATCCGTGCCTCCGTGCATCCGTCCATCTGTCCGTGCCCTCCCTTCCCCTGGCTCCTGCCTCGGGTCTGCACCCGCAGCTGCCTGCATGGGGCTTCCGGTCCGGAGAGATGAAGAACACAGTAACGGGGCAAACGGGAGAGAGAACGGGGGCCGGGGAGTCCCCACGAGGGAGCCCCATGTGCCCCCCAGCACGACCGGATCTCTGGTCCCCCTCCCCCAAGGCGGGCAACAGTCGGGGGAGATGCAGGGGGAAGGGAGCCGGGGAAGGAGAGAAAACTCCGGGAACAGCCGGGGGCGAGTCCAGCCCCTGAACGCAGGAGGGTGGGAGGGGGCTACTGCTGACATGTGGCCAAGCTGACCAACGTGGCCACACTGACAAAGCGGCCGCTTGCGTGGGTCCGGGAGTCTGCGCCCGGGTCTGACCACTCGGCCCGCTCAGCCCGCTCAGCAACCACCGCCCCCTGCCCCAGCTCAGACCCAGACCCCAGAACTGGAGGGGTATAGCTGGGCTGGAGGCGTCCAGGCAGCCGAGGTGGCCAGCAAGATGATCTGACCAGATCGATGCCCCCCCCCCCAGCTCAGCCGGAGATGGCGGCGGGGACCCGGGGGTCAGGGCTCAGCTGTCACTGGTGTCACTGTTCCTCTGGGTGCAGGGGCACAATGTCCCCACTCAGACATAAGCCGCTGAGGTTTGCAGGCGTTGGGGTCACACGCAGCGCTCAGCGGCCATGTATGTGGGGGGCCTGCCCAGCACGAGGGGACTCGGCTCCCTGGCCCCAGGGCTACCCTGGTGGGAAACTCAGGAATGTGGGCAGGAAGGCCCAGGTGACAGCACCTGGGCAGGAGGGTCAGGAGGGACCGGAGGGAGGCGGGTCTCGGAGCTGAGTGACGGGGGCCAGAGAGGGTCCTGGTGCCGTCCCTCATACAGACGTTCGCATTCCCTTATATAGAAAGATCCAGAGCCGTGTGGGAGGGCCAGGGCCAAGGTGACGTCAGGGCCACCTCTGGGGAGGACGAGGAACAGGACCGACAGCACAGCGGGGAGGGAGGGCGACTGCC